TAGAGTCCTTCGATCTGCCGTATTGGTCGAGTTTGCTGGTTGAACCATTTTCGCTCGCGTGTTGGTTTAAAAGAATTGGGATGACTTAGATTGTCTACCCCACAGACGGCGCCAAATGTTTATGCAAGGATATGCACAACAGTGTATTTCAGATTGCAGCTCGAACTCGGCCTCTGGACCGATCTGAATACTTGGGCGGACCTGCACAAAAAGGTGAGCACTCCAACGATCAAGTCAGTATAGGTCGGATTCCCAGTTTAGTTCGAGGTCAGAAATCATCGTACCTGATCGTGGAGTGAAGTCMTCTACTTATGGGTGGTAGTCCCGCTAATCTCGCRACGGTTACACCCGGTAATCTYGRGACCGTCGGTTACACCCGGTAATCTCGGGACCGACGGTTACACCCGATAATCACGCCGCTGACAGTAGCTCACATCGGCCCCCACCGAGCTTCCCGGTAGGTCAGACCTCGGCCCTCATACTTAGTATCTGTCAACGCTAGTGGTGGTGATCTCGGCGGTCCGAGCTGGGGCATGACTCATGGTCACCTTGGGGCACCAATGGCTGTCCTCCACGTGTCCAGGGTATTCTTTCCCCCAAACACATATTAAAGAAAAAAATCACAAAACCTGCTCACACAGCTGGTTCTAGCCACAATAAAAGCACTCCATAGGTTTTTCTGTCCATGGCTCTGAATTTTATATTTTGATTCTGATGTTAATAAACCTATATCATCAATGTAATTATTTATCTCTCTTGAGTCACTCGTTATCATACTACGTCATGTCAAATCATAGCTTAAAGATAAAATGTTCGAACTTGAGATCTCTAAACTAATATGATCAAGAGATCCAAATCCTTGCCCACTAGAGCGTGGGGTTCATTTCATATATTTATTATAATCAAAATCTAAAATTTAACAACTTCATTGAAACCTTTTTAAACTAATGAACCGTTCTATTATCCACTCATCTAAACTAATGAACTATTCATGTAAAATTCAGGTGAGTTCTAAGAAAACTTGCCCAAGAATCATGTAAAACATGGGCGAGTTCGAATAACCTCGCCCGAGTTTTAAATTTTCTAGATTCACAAACGAGTTTCAATAACTTTGGATGAATTTCGGATAAAATGAAATGTTGTTATAATAAAATGTGCAGAGTACTTAAAAATAATTTTGCTTGGCTTGTTGGTCTTGTGTGCTCAACATCGACATAGGGGGAAAAGTCGATTTTCCCCCATGTCGACATGCCACTATAGTCTATAATTTCTCACAACCTTGATAATTACAATCTTAGTCTGTTCAATGAACATCTATATTTTAATACAGTATAAAGTATAACTAATAAGACTTAAAATTTACTTTATTGATAATTTCTAATTCAATTTAGTCCTAAGTCTTCGAATTTTTAAAAAATAAAATATTATTATATACAAATAGTCGTGAAACAAGAGGTAGAATAAGTAACTTAATTAATACCAAAAAAATGATATCGAAGAATCTAGTACACTAGTAGTTGCTCAAATGATCAGTAAAAGTTTACTTTACGTATTCAAATGATTTCCATCCATCTTCATTAAAGAAAAAAAAATCTTTTTTCGATATTTCCATCGACATCGACATCTTCATAAGTAAAATGGTCATATTCTTATGGGTGATCAATTATAAATTAATTAAGCTACAATTCAAGTTTTATTTGCTAATTCAAAAAATTTCCATCAATTTCCACAATTTCCATTATTTTTCCCGAAATATCCATCGACGTCGACATTTCTGTAAAATCGGGACCTCAATATTTTCATCGACATTTTGAACATTAAGGGTGAGTCAAAATCCAGTGGGCCAAAGAATATTTTATAACACAAAATAACAATTAAAATATATATCTAAATTGTTTTGAGATACCAAGTTGTAAAAACCCGCCCGTGAACTAATTCCGAGCAAATTTCATAAAAACTCGGACGAGTTTTTACCTTTCTTTTTTGCCTCCACACTCAACTTTTTTTCATTAAATTAAGGGGTAATTTTGTATTTTCACATTTTCTGACAGATCAGGCAAAGTTGTTCTAGGTCAAAAAAGAATATTTTAAAAAAGTAGGTCCTTTGAACCCATGAAAAACTTAGGTTAAATTTGTCAATACACATCTTCCAACAAAAGAGTGTTTTTAACGCAACATAGTGGCAAACAAACTTTGTAAAAACGGGACCTCCTACGTTAGAACTAGAGTGGGTATTCTCATCCCACTGGACACCATGTGACAATCATTAAAAAGAAAGACACAGCAAGTAGATACTTAGATTAGCTCAGCAGGCAAATTTATGGATCATCAACCCACTTTCTCCCACTAAGAAAGACTTCACTTCCCATGATTCTCAAGCAAACAGAAGAGTACACACTGCAATATAAAGATGAGAGATTACTATTTTTAACGCTGGACAATGCCACATTGTCTTTGATGTCCTCCTAGATCATGCTGGAGCTGGAGCAGACGCCAGTGTTGGAGCAGTTGCAGATGTTGGTACTGGTGGCGGTAGAGGTGTCGATGTCAACGCGGGTGGCGGGACAGTTTCCGGTGATGGTGCTGCTGCTGCTGGCGGTGACGGTGGCGGTGGGAGTGAAGGCGGTGGAGGTGGCTTGACGAGAAGAGATGGGAAATCAAGCACCACAATCTTGTCAATGGCTGCACTGAAAGTGGGACAGAACTCAAGATGCTTAGGATGGGTAAGAAACGAAGTGATGCCTTCTTTGTCATCAAATGTCATTGAGAGGACGTGCGTGAAGCCTTGTGTCAGCATCTCTTGACCTTCAGCTTCATGTCCCCTGTCCAAGCCAAGCAGTAGTATATTTGCATTATCTATCCCCACAGCATGCCAAAGAATAATCAACATCCCTATTTAGTCTTTTCTAAATTTTAAAAAAGGACTATTTTAGTTCCTACAATTATAAAATGTCTGTCTTTTTGCCTCGGAACTTTTATAAAGTAAGCATTTTACTTCTTGCTATTATTTTGTCACTTGATATTAGTCCACAAAATAATACTTAGGCAAGCTATGTGGGTCCACAAAAAAAAAGCATAATTCAATTACTCAAAGGTAGACATCCATCCCTTCCATCCACTAGGATCCAAAAGAGATGGCATCTTCACAAAAATGATCACAAAATTTCACCAAGAGAATGCAAGAAAATGATCACTTCAAACCACAAAACATTTCTGAACAAAAATAATATGCATAAGTGGAGTGAGAAAGAGAATGAAAAGTGAGAGATACCACTCGAAGGACTTGACAGAGTCGATATCAGAAACCACCTTCTCCACTTGCTCCACAATCTCTTCCACATTCACACCCTCCTTGAACTTGGCAATCACAAGGTGCTTGAACTCGCCCATGGCAGCCTACAACTCACTCAAAATCACCAACCCCAGTGGAGAAATGGGGATTTGGAGAACAGAATTTATACAGAGACATTTCATCGAACAGTTTAGGTTCAAGTTGCTGGGTTATTGGTTTTTCACCCCTCTGCTCTGCCCGCTGACACACCCCCACGTTGGCTTTTGCAGCAATCAATCGCCTAAAATGGCTATCCCTATTGCTTGTCTTTCTTTGTGTTGACTGTTTCGGCTCTGCAAAAGGAGAAAGGACCCACGAGTCGGCCGCTTCGGCGCTGAGCCGCACGCTTCAATCTGTCCTCCGCTCCTGCTTTGTGCCCTTCATGGGACCCAAAGTTACAGGTCAATTACAAATTTGACATATTTAATGTCTCAGAACCATGATTTTAAATATTCGTCGACGAATCAACATTTAAACGACATGTCCATGTATTTTGATTTTGACATCGACACGATGAATAAATCGATTTTTTCATCGTAGTCGATAAAATATGAAAAATATCACTAAACTGTGACTAATATATACATAATTTTAATATTAAGTATTTTTAACTTATTTAAAAATAGGAAAATATTTATTTGTTAATTAAAATATTTTTTTACCATTTTTTTAATTTTTCTAACTTTTACACTTTTACATAAATATCGAACGACATCGATATTTCCATGAAATTGAGACATCGACAACATTTAAAACCTGGCTTAAAACTCAATACATATCTTAACTTTTAATATTGTGTCGAATGAATACCTTAACTTTTGAAAAGTATTTAATAAGTATTTAAACTTTTGATTTTAGGTCTAATCTTTGAATTTTACCATGTTTCATAAATCAAGAATTTTTCTTAGACGTAAAATTAAAAGTTTAGAGACTTTTAGATACAAAATTTTAAATTTCATCGGTTTATTAAATGTTTTTTAAAGTTTGTGAATGTATTATACACGATATTTAAAAGTTAGGAACCTATTTTATACTAGAGACTTGAGGCACGAGGAATTAAACTTATAATTTAATCAAATTTCAGGTTTTTTTTTTTTGAGAAGCAACCAAATTTTAGCTATATGCTGTTTTTTAATTGAAATTTTATATGGTTTTCTGGTTAACATTATTTATTAAATGAAAATGTAACGAGTTGACATGACATGTTAAGATAAATAACAAAATAAAGTGTATAGTTAGAAAGAAAAAAACCGAATACTTTAATTGATTCATTCTATATTTGTCTACTCGTCCTTTTGTTTACGATGTTAAATGACTGGGACTATATTCAATTCTAATTCCCGAGACCGATGTGGGATTAGAATTTCATAAAATTTATGAACTAAATAGACATAATTATTAAAGTTTAAAAAAAACAAATATTGTAATTTAACCTATTTTTCATCCTTCAAAAAAATCTGATCAAATTATGTTACATGACATGTAATTTCATCTCATTCTATCTTTGATCTTTTAAATTATATTATTTCTTCAATCAAATCTATACAATCACTGCATGACAATTTTTTTAAAAAAAATGATGGTACTATATTTTATTAACATGGTTAGAAATATTTCATATTTTAGTATAATGAGTTAATAACACTTTTTTAAGGTGAAAATAATCTTTTAAATTATCTTGTTTTCATCCTAAACTTCTAAATATTTTGTTACTTTAGTTCTTATACATTTTTTTTTGTTGCAAATGTGATAAATAATTAAATAAACTAATTGACGTATCATATCATTAACTAAACATCAAAACTAAGGACATGTCAAGAACTACTATAAATATACACTAAATTTATAATTTGTTTTTTCAAAAAAACTTTATCTTAAATATCCATATGCATTATCCTTTTTTTTTCCCTAATAGTTTGGTTTTTTTAGAACGCATCAATCGAATTGAGTGTGAAATTTGGAAATCTTGTAGTGACTTGACCCTAAGGGCAGAGTGTACTATTTTGGGGGTTTGTCGAGTTAGAGAAGAAAGACCATTGCAACAAGTAAAACATATCCCACACTCAATTATTCGCTCTTTCTTCTCTCGCAAGTTTCCTCGAATTCTAATAATACGAGAGCTCGACGGTTAAGATACTTGCGTCTTTCTCTCGAGGTTAGAGGTTTACAAATTTCCTCAAATTTTAGCATGAGAGTTCAATAGTCAAAGACATTTCTCCTTTCTTTTGAGCTAGGCTAAAGGTTCAGATCCCGACTCTCATAGTTGTTGTACTAACAAAAAAAGTTCCCTCAAATTTCAATATCTTCATTTTCAAGTACATCGAAACTCTTGTTTATTTTTATTTTGGGTTTTTTTTCATACTTTTTAATGTTTAGTTTTTTTTTCCTTCCCTAAACCCAATATAAAATTTTGTTTTGATCTCTTTTAACACAAAATCTTATGTTATGTAATGTATATTTATGTCATAAACTTCATGTGTTAGGTTTCGAATTAGATAGGATAGTAGGTGGCTTTCAATTTGTGTACGATATTAGCATAGATAAGAATGTTGTGGACAAGTGTTAGAGAAATTAGATGGTTCAAAACAATTTCCTCTTTTCAGTTATATCCAGTAAATCACAATCACACAACACAAATAAGATTTTAAAGTGAGAAGCAGAAAAGGACGCAAGAGTTCATACTGGTTCACCCAACAATTTATGGACTACGTCCAGTCTTCCACGTAAATACGGGGTCTACTAATAAAGAGATTGAATACAAACACCCAAATATCTCTCCCCGATATTCACACTTTAGAGGTCCCAACAAAAGCCCTCTAGCTTTTAAGTATTATAATACACTATACTTAGGTACATGAATGAAAACTCACAATAGAATCAAGATCTAATTACCTCAAATATGTCAACCTTGATATGCCCCTACATTTTTGCCAATACCCCGAGCCTCTGTTTCAAAACTGCCATGAAACTACTCTCAAATAGGCTCAAAATGGCTCTAATTTCAACTAAGAAACCCTAAAACCCGAAATTGCATAATTATAAAGTCAGTACAGCGCCTGCATAATTATAAAGTCAGTACAGCGCCATGGCACTACAAACAAAAATTTCATCGCCGCGCTCCCATCATGACATCATCGCAGCGCCCTACAGAAATGTTGTGGCATTGTAGTACTTAGAAGCTAGAGGACTCTTGTTGGGACCTCTAGAGGATGAATATTGAGGTGAGTATTTAGTGCTTGTATCCGATCTCTTTATTAGTGGAACCCGAATCTTAGTGGAAGACTCGTAGCCTATAAACTATTGGGGCGGACCAATATAAATTCTTGTGTCATTTTCTGCTTTTCCTTTAATCTCTTGTTTGTGTTGTGTGATCATGATTCATTGAATATAATTGTGGAAGGAGAAATTGTTTTGAAACATCTAGTTTTCCAACAACAAGTTTATCAACATGTCTAGAATTCAAAGGATTTGTTCTTTTTCCTTTTGCTAAAAAAACAGAAAAATCAAAAATATTAGATGCAAACATAGTATACCTAACTTATTTGGTACAAACTTTAAATACCTCACATATAAATTATACCTACACATTTATTATGTTATTCGTGCAATCATTTTACACCATCATTTATTTAAAATCTGCAGCGATCTGATCAAATCAAGCATTAGCCTTTTTGCTTTTGTGAACAATTAATGTGGGTGTAGAGATTTGAACGAATAGATATTTTACCGTTCATGTTGGCATTAGACTCTAAAAAACAATAGCAAATATGTGTGGAACATCCAACAAGAAATTATGTAATAATCTGTTCACTCAACCCTAAGGTCGAATGTTCAAATCCCGAACTTCTCATTTGTGGTTAAATTCATTATGAATAACTTTCAGTAGCTAAGCTAAGCTAAGTAGGTCAAGTGGATTAGGTTGGCTAAGGAATATTCCATCTTGTTCTTCACCTCCTCATATCATTTGAGTCAAATGTGTTAGTTGGGGTCTCCTTCTAGCTATGTTTGCTCTTTCTAGCCTCATCTTTTTTTTTCCTTTTTTTTATCTTTTTTTGAATCAAAGAAACATATATCGTGATGTGTATACAATAAATGCTCATCAATATACATGCATGTACCATAGTTATTAATAATTGTAAAAGTACATCCATTATATGTCCTTATCATTTCATTTCTTGTCCATAACTTGATTTTTGGTTGGCCTTGTGAAGGCCCCACATAGCAAGAAGAAGAATAAGAAAAACAAGAGCAAACACATCCTATTCATCCCCATTTCTACCATGTTTTTAAGCTTTCCAAAGAACAAGTGATGAAGAAAAAGGAGCTTGGAATAAGGTATGTGAAAACCACTATTTGAATTACACCAATGGAGCCAAAAAGTAGAGATTCTATGCCAACAAGAAAAAATGTAAATTCACAGTGAACAAAGAGTGTTCAAGTGGCTCTCAACTTCCTTATAGTACAGCACACACCAAGAAAGTAAGAGATGCTGATCTTTCTTTAGAGCATAGACCAAAAAAATGGATGTGAAGTTTGTCCAAACGTGATGCTTCGGGCAGGTTTGCCTTGTTCATGCTAGAGTGTAGTTTGATGCTGGAGGAGCTTCTTCATTGCCCTCTGTTTCGTGACAGGGACCGGCTTTTATGGTAGGTGGATTTCTTAGTTGTTCTATGAAGCTTGTGGATCGAGAAAAATAATAGGATTTTTAGAGGGATTGAGAGATCTTGAAAGGACGTTTGGATTGTTGCTCAGTTTCATGTTCCCCTTTAGACTTTGGTATCCAAACCCCTTGTAAATTACTCATTAGTTTGATCTTCCTAGATTGGAACTCGTTCTTAGGGCTTTTTTTTGTGCCCCTTCTATGAAATATTTCTTTCTTCTCGATGAAAGTTTGATTTTTATCTAAAGGGGAGGGGAGAGAAAGCTCCCTCATTTCCAAGTATCTGGGCTCTATTAAATATTGGAATCCCTTGGTGAAAATTCTTGAGTAGAGAAGAGAGTGGCCCAACTTTTGCTTTCCCAATAAAAAAGTGGCTCCTTAAACTTGGATTCTAAGTGCAGCTTTGAGCAGCCCACAATTCAAATATTAGGGTTCTTTGAATCTGGATGGAAGGGTGTGGGAAATTGTTGAAGAGGAATGTCTATAACCCATTGGTATTTCCAGAACCTAATTCTTCTCCTATTCTATTACCAACTCTTTAGACACTACATAGAAAGCCAAGGGATTCTTGAAGAGTCCTCACTCCTCAGTATAACAACCCAAGTGAGCGGTTTCGCACTTCAAATAACTATATGCCATAGAGAGTCGGTTTTGGTTGAGAAATCCTCAACGGTTTAGAGAGTAAAGCAATGTTTTTTCTCCAATGAGCCTTAATGTCGATCCTCCCAAAAGAATAGGTCTTGCTACCTTCTTCTCCCAAACTAAATGAGTACTTCCTTGAATCTCAATGCCTAATCCTACGAGTTTTCTAACCACAAAATGTTATAGAATCAGACAAATTACCCGCGTTAGGTTGGCTGGAACACACACAAAAGCTCCCAAACACTATTAAGGACAATCTCCTCACACTAACATTATCCCTCCTTTACCTACGAGTCAGAGAAATTCCTTAAAAAATGGTGTCGCAACTGCTCACTTGGCAGTGCCAACCCATGCCCAAGCCCACCCCCTCTCTTTAGTCTCCCCAAGAACAAGTAAACCTCAGGGGTGGCTTGTCACACTTTCTGTGACCGTACTAACTAAAAGACAAATGATTTTTCAAAAGAAGGGGGAAAAAAAACATACAAAATAAATTCAAAGGGCTCCAATTTTTCCTCCCTTTTTGTGTGTGGTTGCAAGATTTCGAACTGAAGTTGAACTTAGCATCATAACTTGCACAAACAGCATGAAATTTGTAAATATACAAATAAAAATTTTAGCATCAGGAAAAGGATAATAGCAGTAGCATAGGAGGGCACAGAAGAGAGCAAAAGAATCAGAAACCAAGACAAAGCTAATATTAGATTAGACTAGGCTTATACAATTCGACTCTTAACTCTTAAGAGCCGAAATCACATGTAGATTTATCTAAAGGGTTATAAAAAAGACCAAAAAACAAAGCCAGTACTACTCTGTAATACCAATTCCCAGGGCCGATCCTCAGCAGCACAGGTATCAGGCAACAAGGCTCAGGCAATGAAAATAAATTAGAAGATCACAAGCTATAAGGAGTTACTTTTGTGGTAGTTTCTGTTGTATCAAAGAAAGCCCTTCACACTTCTTAAGCCGAGATATTCGTTTCCGATGTGTGCGCCCTTGATTGTGTTGCTCCCATTCATGTGCTCCTCTCAGTACTTTATTCCCACAAGCCTGTACAAATAATGCAGGTAATGTTGGTTGCATGAACAATGAATAGGAGTTTGATAGAATCCAAACAACTAAAACAGTATTGAAATATAAAAGGATAAAGCCGTACAATTAAAACCCCAACCCCAAGTATTCAAGATACTGATCTCACCTCTTGAGTAATCTCACTCAAGCCTAAAATCATGAAACAATTGTGCCTTCCTTCAGCCTTTCCCGCTCTATTTATAACAATTCCCTACTAACAAATCCCTTAACTAATTATTATATCCTTACTATACTATTACTATCCCTAAGTACCCCAAGGGCATTCCTATCGGAGTTGTTCCGGAGAGCTTGCTTGCCTCTTGTAAAAATTTTGAAAGAACTACTTTCAGCCTTTCAGGAATAAGCTTTTCAGCTGGTATCCAATTTTCCTTTTCATTCCTTCTTGTGTTGATTACTCTAACAAAATAGGAAAGAAAATACATGAAACAACAAAACATTGCTCCTTTTTCCAGTTTTTTACTTTGTCTCTCAAAGAAGTTCTGACAAAATCAAATGAATATGTTGTAATAGAAAACTATTTTCGATTTTCAAAATGAAAAAGGAAATTATTTTGGAACGCACCCAATATATATTACCTTGCACATATATTGTGTCCACAAGTCCCTTTTTATTGTTTGCCCAGAATCGTGTGGGGTCGCTTTCTCAGTTGCTAAACAACTATCTTCAAGGAAAGACTTAATTATATGGACTGCAGGTTCAACAACTTGTGCAGTCCATGAATCCTCCACTTTGCCTAGCATTTGAAATAGCAAGTGTTCAAGATAATAGGATAGGCAAAAAAAAAAAAAAACAAAACAAAAAAAAAAGATAATAGGATAAGCAAGATGAAGCTTATAAAATAAATAGTTGATCAAATAGTGAGCTTAAGATTATCACAGAAGCTATACATGATATATACTCAGTGGCATCAACATAGTGTATCTTCCATCCAAATAAAGTTTCCAGTCTCTTTAGCTGCCTCCTCTGCAACCAATAAAAACTACATTATAGAATTATTGAATAAAACATGTACTGTTTTAATACATGTACTCGAGCATTGTCATTAATTAAATATTTAGGCTAAATAGATACTTAGACTCTAAGTTATACACCATTTTTCAACTTCGTCCCCAACTCCCTAATGTTTTTTCTTATTAGAAGAAACAGAAATGAACTTGATAAAGTACGTCACAAATAATTTCAAAACCCCCATCACACAATAGCAATAAAGCAAAATCATCCTTGAGTATAAATCTCACAATCCCAGACTGAAAGCATTACAAAACCCCTTACCAATTGTAAATAACTACGGAGAATGAATAAAAACAAAACTTTTGATGTGAAAACCCTAGCAAATTAAAATTAGGAACCCGTTGGGCATATGAACCCCTAATTCAAAAACACTAAAACTCCCAAATTGATTCAATTTCAACCCTAAAGTTTAGGTAGATATGGATTGCCTTAAGATCAAAGCTCTCAAGACAAAGAACAAGTTCCTTTGCCCAAGAGTCGAACACTCCACGTCCACATAATAGGATTATCAATCCTACTTGAATATTCTTGGTATGCAATTCAAAGAAACATGAAATTGCAAAAGGTTGCTCCTGGCTAAACTTGAAAGGAAAAGCTCTATGGCTAATTCATTATCAAAACTGATCTAATATGTAAAACAACCTAATGGCCAGGCTTTAGATAGCAATTAAACCATAGATGCGACATCATCAACCAAAGCAAAAAGACAAAGATACCTCTACTTATTATGTTCAAGAAAGGATAAAATTGGAAGGCACAATAAATTACATAGAAAAAAAGTCTTAAATAAAAGTGTATTATAATTTAAAGCCCTAGGTGGTTCATATCATCTCTCTTCTAAAGAAATCCAAAATCAGGTTGATAATCAATCTGATAGTAATGAAGGTGAGTTGAAAAGTAAAAATAGTTCCAAGACTTCAACCTTGACACAAGGACCCCAGCAAAAAATTACAAATACATGTCCCTAAAATACTGGGCTATAATCAGAGATCTCGAGAAAAAAGATTTGCAGGAAAGAAAACAAAAGATATTGGCAACTTAAAGCACTTGTCTTTTAAGAACAGGAGATAAGAAACAAATTGGTTACTGAACAAGCCCTAGAAGTATCATATCAATAAGCCAGCAATAAACCATGAATTTCTTCCTGATTTTTACCAATATTTGCATTTGAAATACATGTTTAGTTCTCTGACGGAATCACGTAGGAAAAAAGAAGGTTAACACTTAATAGGTTAGATATTCACTCACCTGCCGACGAACCAGTCTTCTAGTATTCAACTTTACATTATCTATGGCTTCTTTCAATAGCAAACTGGATTGACCATCACTTGGTAAATTTAGGATTGACCTCATATTCTCTTTCAAAATCTCATTACAGTCCTCCATTGAATTACTTGGACTGATTCCATCACTATCTTTATCACATCTTCCTTTAAGTAGGTAATATCTCAAAAACTCTTCAAACTCCCGAACACCAATAGCTTGGCGCAATCCTCTAGTGTAGTTTGCACTCGGATTGTAAATGTCATAGACCTCATCAAGTAATCCAGCAGCCATCATACTATCAACTCTAGAATCAACATGTTGGTCAAGTTGTGGAACAGATGCATCAACACATATCAAGCAGCAATCATATCTGAAACTATCAGCTTGACCCCAATTCTGCCCTGCCACATGCAATGTAACACCATGTATTAGAAATATGGGTGTGGTATTATTCAAGGACTTAAGCAAACAAGATTAAATGAAAAATAAATAATCTGAAGAAAAGAAACTCATTAAATGTCCAAGCATCAAGGAAGAATTAAAAGGAGGTTTTTTTAAATGATGTTAAAAACCATAATCACATAGTTAAACTAAAGAAGATTCAAACCTCAGCAGCCTTTCCTTGAAAAAGTGTGCTGGGAAGAACACCAGTGCGGTAATACAAACTCAGGTATTGCTTTATCTGCAACACATTCAATGTTAATTGAAAACATCAAAAGCCGGGTAGGAAGTTCAGTTAAATTATAATTGTGCAAGATGTAGTGAACAATATGAAGATACTGAGATTTTTGTGTCGATCATATGGAAGGAAGGAAGAGGGTATCATAGTTTCATTTCAATGGCAGAATCACAAGCAACAACATGCTGAATAATATTTGGCACTGAACCTTTCTTTGACAGAGGGGAAAAAAATAAAAAATCTGCCGAACCAATGTAACTTTTTTTTTTTTGATATCAGTGTATCCGGCCAGCTTGCGTGCATCTCGACTAATCACAGGCCAACCGCCTGACCCTACTACATTTGGTTGACGAGGTAACTCATTGGATATTAAATCTTAGGTAGGTGGCCACCATGGTTTGAACTCATTCCCTCTAAGCCCTTTGCTATTTACAATGGCCCTTAGTGACCACTAGGCCATCCCATGATGGCTGCCGAACCAATGTAACTCCCCACATTCTTGGTTAGTTTTAAGGTTAAGCTACTTTGGACACTTTAACTTTCCTTCAATTTCAGTCTGCTTACTTAACTTGAGAACAATTCACTGTAGTCCCAAACTGTCATGAATTACTGGACAAACATAATATACGAGAAACCTATGGACGAATACTGAGCCTAGAAATACAGGTCATATTTACACTTCTTTTAAAACATAAACAATAAGAAGAGGGAACTCAGGGTATCATGTAGGATTTTGGGTGGGCATTGCTTGAGTTAATGATGCCCATAAAGAACCTACATTACATATAGATTTACACAAAAAAAAAAAGAAAAAAAAGGAGGGAACTCAGGGAAGTACAGAGATTCAACGCCTATTTCCTGATAAGAAACACTTCACTAAGAAAAAAGATAAACAAGAAGAAGTATAAGGTGTTCAATACCTGTCTGAAGAAAAAAAAAGGTGAGTGTAAACATAAGTCAGATACCAGGAAAACCACTTAGATAACATAGAAGATAAGACATTTAAAAATTCATGTAAAGCTCTGGTTCTCAACCACTCGTCTTTAGAGGGGAAATCAAATCATTCTACAACTTGGTGGCTATAATCAAAGAGAATTCTTTTAAGAACCATTTACTAGCCACTAGGAAAACATTGTAATTCAAATCAATCGTTTAAGTATAAAAGACTAAGAACTAACTTATTTTCGTATTCATCGGAAGGATATACATACTATAAGCTGGCAGTCTTACTTTTCTGTGGTTATTAGGATGGATTCTGTTTGCTGAAACTGGATCAATCTCATTAAGGTGGTTATGGTCATACTTCAAACGATATCTTCCCTCATCCAACTCAATACCGAGCACCTCATCTCCTGGAAAACATGAATAAAAAATAATTAAAACTCCAGATCCATATGAAGTGCTCTTAAACCCATCGAGTTGGTAATTACCAGGATAACTGGAGCAACCTTCACCAATGTTTTCTGCAGAATCATCCAGAAGAAATGGGCTAACAAGAGCCTGCATAAATAGAAGCGAGTATCAGTTAGGTGTCATTCTTTCGGATTGGGGTCCGTCCTTATAGGTAGATCTCCTTTTGTCGGCTTTCATTTTCTCTCAGTGAAAGCTTGGTTTGAACTTTGATCCCCTTCAGTCGGGCTTGTTTTTTGTTTGCCCTTTGTATATTATTCTTTCATTTTCTCTCAGTGGAAGCTTGGTTAAACATGAAGTCTCAATATACAATAAAATGATATATAAGTGAAGCCCACAAAAAGGCGGTGATTAGTAGTTAAATATCAAGAAGTCTCAATCTCTCAAAGGAAGTAATCTAAAATGTCAAGAAGTAATCTTAAGATGTCCAATAATTTGGTAAACAATTAAAAGAACACTTGCACGACAAAAAACTTGCCAGTAGAAGCATTCAAGTTATCCTATTAACCATTAGATGACTAAACAGGACACTTTCTTACCTGTATATAATAATTTGTTCCACCCACTATCATTGGCAAGCACCCACGAGATATTATGTCATCAATAACCTGAAAATTTAAAAGCAGAATCATGACCCCAAATTGTAAGGGAAAAATTCATCCCACATACTTCATAAAAATAATATGATTAAAGATAACAGGGTTGCTCGAGAGGTTTAAATTCTTTATCTTAGTTGAGGTAATTATTGACCACGTTAAGGACCAGAAGAAGAAACTGAAGCTTAAAAATAACGTCATCGATGCATACCACTGAAAGCCACAATATTTCAACCACACTAATCAATTTCAAACTCTTTCAGTTTGCATCTCTAAGAATGCGTAATGAGCACTAGAAGAAAAAAACCCTTAGCATTACACAATGCTGCTAACTTACAGGAATGGCAGAATCTCGAAAATCTTTCGCCGTGAATTCAACGTCTGGACTCACTGTACCTAGAAGATGATGCAGCACTCCTAGATAACGAACCCCAATAGAAAACCCACATCAGAAATCAATCGCAGGGCAGGGGAAAGCGTGAACAATTGCAGAAGAAACGGACTGACCATTTTGGTCTTCAGGGGGGAGTTTGTTGGTGAGAACGTCCAATCCTTGATAAACCTGCATAGAGTCGGCGTTGATGATCTCCACGGGGAAGTGAGAAGCTAAATCGATGGCGAGACGGGACTTCCCTGAACCGGTCGGCCCCATAATCACCACCACCTTCGGCTTTGCTCTTCCCAATCCCATGGCCGGGTCTGCAGACTGCGTTCCAGTGCCACCGTGCACGCCCATCGCTTCTCCGACGAGCATCCACTCGAATTTATGCGATCTAGAGGGGTATTTTGTTTTGTATTATGGCGGCTGTTTTCTATAAATCTCGTTAAAACACAATTTGGGGCGAATCCGGGTAATTAAATAATGGAAGAACATAGGTGCTCTGTACAGGTGGCCCCCAAAGTAGATACACACTGGATTCCCTCTTGCATGACCGAGAGTGAACTAGTCATACTTCAGGCCCATTATGAAATTCCAAATTTAGTGTGAATGTGCATCTCATGTGAAGGGGAGAAGATGACTCGTCCACCGCCGAGAGAGTTGGTGTTCTATACCAAGATGTTTCACTGTGGCGTTGGATTACTTATGCATCCTCTTATCCAATGTTTCCTAAGTTTCTTTCATTTGGCCCTGGCTAAATTAGTTCCTAACGGATGGTCAAATTTATTGGGGTGCTACTGGCATGGCAGCGAACGGGCGGGAATGTGACTATCAATCCCGAGGTCATTGCTTATTTCTTTGAGTTAAAGGCGATCCCTCCCCGATGGGCCCAATTCCATTTCTTGGTAAGGCAAACCATCATATGGCCAAGTCACCCAACAGCAGACCTTGTACTGAGTCAAGAAGAAGTAGGGGGCAGTTCACGCGTAGTGGCCGCCCCCTTGTTGAATGGCTTGAGTGCAGTCGTAGCCCTTGTTGAATGGCTTGAGTGCAGTCGTAGCCCTTGTAGGTGCGACCTCAGCGTCTGCAACCTCTGCGGACATGGCCTTAGTGACCATGAACGAGGGGGTGGCTCGTGCGCTGTGGCTGCCCCTCTGTTTAGCAATGTTGTCGTGGCTCTAGCGTCTAAAGGGGCCCATGGCATTCTAGCAATTAGATTCCCCAATTCTGCAAAAGACTGGAAATCTAAGTGGTTCTTCGTCACCGAAGATTGGCAAGCGACACTTCTTCTGAATATGATCTATTCTCCATCTCAACCGAGTTAGGACAACCAGGTCAGTATTCATTTACTGTCTCATTAAGTCAACTCGGTCGGTCACCATTTTACCCTAACTGGTGTGTCTACTCTTTTTGTTTTGCAGTTCAAGCTTATCCAACCCCTGCCAGGACATGAGCTGCTATGAAGTGCTTTAATATCGTCCTATAGCACAAACGATGTCTCATTAACCTCGGAGTGGTATCCCATTCCTGCCTTAGAGGTCGGCATCATTGCAGGAGAAAGAGTTAGCTGGGAAGAAATTCTATGTCTAAGTACTCTTGTTTTTTCTCCTCTTTGTTTTTTTGTTTTTTTAATATTTCTCATTATAGTATCTCACCATAGTTACTTTGTGATACTTGTTGTATTCTAAATCCATAGACATGCATCCTACTTCTTTGGTCGACTATCTCTACGCTTAAAGGGTGATGAAACGAGCGGTGTTCACCACTAAGCTAGGCAGTTCGTCTGGGACGACCGACTCACCCTCCTACCAACATTGCCAGACAGAGGTTCTTCCTAAGATGGTTCCTTCTGCCAACGTCGAGCGCAATATCTTCTCTGGGCTCTTTGATTTACAGAGGGTACCATCCTTTTGCTTTTCGATATATGTATTCTCTTATTTTTCTGCTCATCTCCAATATACTTATCTATCTTCTTGTGCCTCTGTCAGCTTGATATGAGGACAAGCGCAGTGGTGTTTCGTATAGGGTCTAAGCTTCAACATGTTTATGCAGCGAAAGCTGCGGTAGATAGAGTCGCTGAGGGGCACAAGTCTAGCTACACTTAGCAAACCTCAAGTGGGTGGAGGTAGAGGCATCTTTAGAGAAGTCTAAGGCAGCACGTCCTTGGCTGAAATGGAACTTTTGCGAGTGGAATTGGAACGTTGTCAGGCAGAAAGGATTGTAGAGCGAGAGGCTCTCTTATCTGATTGGAAGGAAGCTTGAAACTAGAGGCAGCGTTATGTTCGATAAGGGCCTATGATAGGCTCTAGAGTGACATCATGAAATTTAGTATAGATTGGATGGAGGTAAAGATGGAGGAAACTCACCTAGGGGTTGATGTGAGCTTTCTAAATGCTACATTGGAGGTCGATGAATGATCCTTCTAAAGTTGTTCACCCACCCAACGAGCATCCACTTGAATTTATGCGATCCAAGGGGATATTTTATATAATATGGCGGTTGTTTTCTATAAATCTTGTTAAAACGTAATTTGGGAGGCCAATCGAACCGGGTAGTCCGGATTTGACCCGTTGGGTAGTTAAATATTAGGGAATAGCAAATTCTTGACTTGAATAACTGGATCGTAGATCATGGATGACCTGTAAAAAAAAGAAGATTGAGCTAATGCCAGCGTGGTGTCGGGTAACACACTTTAAAGCTTAAGTAAGTGAAAAATGTGGAAGACAATATAATGTTAGTTTTGGAATTAAGAGAAGAAAAGTCAGTTACCCCATTTGCTTAGGGGACCGCTGCATTTATAGGGGTCCCACTGCTTCCTTTCTAAGCCACTAGGGAGAATTAACTCATGCTTGTCGTCACAGTACCTCGTCAGCCACAAGGGACTGTGGTGGTGATGTGGGGGTGCAGGCTCTTAGGTGCGATCCTGACTGTGGTGGTGATGTGGGGGTGCAGGCTCTTAGGTGCGATATGTTGGATCGGTACGACAACCGGGGGTGAATAGGGTTTAATGAAACTTTTTAAACTTTTTACTACGATGGGCCCAATTTAAACAATTATATAAACTTTTTATGAACAAATTATTTTAACACAAAATTAAACAACAAATTAGAAATACAAACACCCTAATTAATTTCACCACCCAAATAATTCAAATATAAATATTGAGCATAAATATGATTAATAAATTCGAACAATTAATTTCATGCAATTTGTAATAAAGAAAATTAATTGCAAAAATTAAATAGAGTAGGGTTAGAGAAAATTACACCGAAAATTTTATAGTGGTTTGGCAACAACCGGCCTACTCCACTCCCTAAGCGCCTCTTGGTATTCGATTAAGAAACTTTGACTCTTTCCATGGTAGGAGTCAAACCGGTACAAAGTCTTCTTTTTCCTAGAGCAAGAAGAAACATGATCATTTCCACAGTTCAAGATCAAATCGTTATAAATGATATTTTTCGGGCTCAAGAGCAACCCTTACAAAGAATATGAAAATTTGATAACAAACTTACAAACTCTCTCAAAGAGTAGATATACAAATTTTTGCTCACAAATTTGTAAGAAAAATTCTTACAAATAAAAGCCTTCAAATGGCTAAGAGAAATAAAATTGGAAGCACTAATATCTCTCAAATAAAAAAATTTATCTCACAAGAAATTAGAACAACATTTGAAATTTTGGAGAGATGAACATGAAGAGATTGAAGAGAAAATTGGAGAGGAAAGTTGTTGAAATTTTGAGAGAAGAAGAGTTGATTAAATAGGGGGAAAAAGGATTGAAATTGATTTGAAACCAAAATCAATTTGGACAATTAGATTTCAAATGATTAAAGATGAAAATTTGAGATTTAATGGAATAAAATAATAATAATAATAAAATATTATATATGGATATGTGAAACGGCTCTATATATATATAATATAATATATATAAATTTTTTTAAACAAATATGTATTTAATGTGATGTGACATATATATATATATATATTACTTTTTATTTTTTTCTTTCTTTTAAGTTACTTCAAGGGTAACTTTATTTTTTTTTTAACATCATGCCACATGGACCACTTACTTGATTTAGCTGCTACGTCATCCATCTCGGGTTATTTTTCTTTTAACTTCTTTCGATCATAATTTCTTCGTTTGAGCTCCAATTTGGGTAATTCAAAATCCGTTGGAATCATCGTATCGAGCTCTACGCTGTGAACACTTTAAAACACTAAAATTATCAATAAATAAAATATATATTATCAGTAAATCATATAATATTATTGAAGCTCATAATAAATTTATGTTTATTCTTACACACAAAAAACAATTAATACTAAGTGTGTTTGTTATCATCAAAACACTAATTAATTAAATTAATTAACCAAGATGAAGGGCCAAAAAGCCAACACGATCGTCATGGTGTGCCCGTTACCTGGACTGCGGTTACGCAACCCATCAAGGAGGGTGCAGGCTCTTAGGTTCGATCGTCGTGGCGTGCCCGCTACTTGGACCGCGGTTACGCAACCCATCAAGGAGGGGTGCAGGCCCTTGAGTGTGGGAGCGTCTCCTCAGGTAGAGGAGAGAGAGTGTGTGGATTGGGGTGACGCCTCCTCAAATAGAGGAAAGAGTAGGGGTGTTCACGGGTTGGGTGGGTTGGGTCGGATTAGGGGTACTTTTAGGACCAAACCAAATTTTTGGGTTGGCCATATATGGGAACCGACACGTTAAAAATTGATGGCCAACCCAACCCAACCCAAAAATTTTAGGTCGGGTCGGGTCGGGTTGTCGGCTTGTCCCTTTTTTTTATTTTATTGTTTATATCCTAGACGAAAAAAAAGTGTAAAAAAATCAAAATAGGAGAATCGAAGATGATTATCTTTTTTCCAAATCTTCCAAATCTCCCAAATTTACAGTTTGAAATATAAAGCAAAAGGGAGAGAAAAAAATCATCTGCTCACTAAATATAAAGCAAAAAAACAAAAACGGAAGATCCTCTACGCGAAAAAAAAGAGAATGAGATGATTCATTCCTCCTCCCCACTTCAAATCAGTGGTGAAGGAGGTCTGCGATGGGACGATGAGGGCACGGGCGACGATTGCGACGGGACAAAGGGCGGCGGCAGCCGCGGGTGCAGCGGGCAGTGGGTGGCGACGAAATTGCAGGGACGACGATGGGTGCAGCAATATGCTTGAGTGAAGAGACAACAATAGAGAAGAGAAAACTTGAGGATGAGATTGATCAAATAAGGGAGGTCAAAATGACGGAGGAAGGAAGGTGAGAAAAGAAAAGTGAAAACTCTAAATGTTAAAGGAATGATCTCTCAACCCATGGTTGAGATTGAAGATAATAAATGTATTATATATTTATTATAAAAAATATATATATATTAAATAAGGCTAATTCCGGTTGGGTTGGGTCAACCCAAATTTTTTAAGGGCCAACCCGATCAGGTTGGGAAATTCTCAATCCAAGTTGGGTTGAGTTCGTCGGGTTCGTCGGATTTTTTAAACACCCTAGGAAAGAGTGTGTGGATGGGGGGACGTACAACTCACGAAACCTACATCCAACAAATCTAACAAAAATTAACAAAAGAAAACTTTTTTGCACTTTCACCCCGTAGTAAACGTATCGATGAATAGAAATGAAAAGTAATTAATATAATAAGTCTTTATTTAGTACAACATGTAGGGGGTGGGGTCGAGATTCGAACTCCACAACCTCGTAGTTTGAGATATATGTCAATTACCATTAAGCGGTTCGTTTTGACAATTTATTTTATTATAATAAAGTTATTGATTTTTAACAAATAATAGATAATTATAATTTATAGAATAATTATAATAAAATTAAATCAATAAAAAATAATTAATATGATTTTAAAATAATCGTCATTAATATAAAATATTATTAAATTTTGTTGTTCTAATCGATTTTTACCGCCGTTAAACTAAGCAAAATAAAAATGTAAATTCCATAATTCTTGGACTCGAAAATATCTTATAAAATAAACCATGTTCTTTCATTAAATAGTATCGAAAGTTGCCCACCTAAACATGTAGATAAGATGGATACTTATTAAAATTTAACATCATTATATAAGTTATAATTTCGATATTTCATCCCACAATTGTTAACTAAAAAATGATATTAGAAGTTCAAACTTCAAAGGTTTATGCCCCATGTTATTTAAATTCAAAATAATAATAAGTAATGTTATTTATGTCTCATATTTAAATAAGTAGTATATCTTCCATTAGTTCAATTTTTGTAAATTCTTTTACCTTTCTTTAAGACTTCATTATTTTATAAAAAAAAAAAGACTTCATTAAAACTATTGAAAATGAGTAAATTCCCTATGGAATGCAATAAACTAAAAAACAAGAGCGTTGTGTGACCACTTCGAGAGAATCTGATTCTGTTGTGCTCGAACACAAATTAGCTTCCTTCAATCTCTATAAATCTTCGTAAAGCACTAATGCTCTGTTTCGTGTTAAGAATTTGAATAAAATGATTTCAAATTCTATTTTTTTCTAATTCCAACTAGATAGGATAAAGCTTCCAAAAATTTAATGTAAAATGCTTTTAGATTTTCATATCTATAGTGGATTTCTAAATTCCAAGTCCTATTAATAATTATTTATTTATTTTAACTCGAGTAGCTCAACTTGTAAAAGTATTAATTATCTCCCTAAATGTTAGATGAATATTTCTCTAAATTAATTTTTTTTATTTATTAACTTCGTTCATTGGTATAATTTCATGTATCTAAAAATAGGAGAGAATATGCAAGATGTTGATAATATACCAAAGGAAAAATTGTTATATATACATTACAACCAGAGGAAGATATATGCTTTCACGTATTGCGTGGAAAAAGACCATTTGTTGATATTCTTTGACGATTAAAGGTAATTAAGAAAGTTCTAATATGACTTTGCCTAAATGTACCTCAATTTCTAGATGAGTATCTCAAATCGTCCAAGTATTTTTTTTTTTTTTTTTATTACCGAGGAGTCGGCGGCTCTTTGACATTTTTGTCCCTATATCTAGAGGGTATGTGCACTGTTCCCATGCTCGTACATGTGCAAGGCTTGAACTCAAGACCTCAGAGATATTCCCTGAAGCCCTAAGCCACCGAAACTATCCCTCGGAGACCATCAAAGTATATTTTAATAGCCTTCTACAATTCTGATAGTTCGTTTGCATTGACTTTTGGTGTTCGAGGTACATCGTTTAGAACATAATCACCACTGATAATCATACTAACAATATAGAGTAAATTAAAGAAGTGGAGATGATAGACCCTTAACAATTCGAACCCGCCAAGTTGTAGACCATAGGCACATTACTCGAAGAAAATAGAACACACATGCGAAATATGAGAAGATAGCTAAACATTGATCAGTATCCCACACTCGGTACGCAATAGCACTTGTGCTCGGGATTTATTAATACAAGCAAATGTCATCCACAAAACAAAGTTAAAATTTTTCTTCCCCAAAAAACATTGAGAAAGAAAGATAAAATGTTGGAATAATAGAAGACAAAGTTGGTTATTGTAAGTTAGAAGAGAACACCTTTGTTAATGAAGGATGTCAATGTTCTTGCTCAGCTCTTCCAACTTCTTCATCCTTAGTTTCTCACTCTCATTCACCAACTGACCAAATTGTTCAAATAAAATAACATCAAATATAAGATTTCACACCCATTTTGTTTTTTCATAAAAAACAAAGATAACTTACTCATAATTAGTTTTTAAAAAATATTGGAAATTCAACCCAATTTTGAAAGAAAAGACAATTATTTTTTTAAGTTCTAAAATTTGGACAAAAATTTTTAAAAAGAAACTAGATAAATTTTAGAAAAAAAAATTTATTTTTTCAAAGAAAATAAATTATAATCAATTGTGTCCTAAATTAATTATTTTTTGTTACATCACTTTTTTTTTTTTGTTTATGGTTCTTAATTATCTTTATCTCCAAGTTAGTTTTATGATTTTTAAAGCATAAAAAGTTTTATTGATATTATACTTTTGTAACCATGCATCATATCATTAGTTAGAAGTAACAAAATTTTATTTTGATATGTTACGTGTAATTGCACCTCAAAAATTTTGAATCTAGTCTTTATCAAAAGTAAGTTGTCAATATGACAGGCAGGAAATTTACTTCTCACGCACAAATAATTTTGAGATGTTTGATAAACTTTAATTAGAGAATAGAGACAATAACATAATTTTTAAAAATACAAATAACAAGTAAAAAGATCAAAGCATATGACTAAAAATATAATTTAACATTTTGTTCACATAAGGAAAGAAATAAAGATTCACCTCCATAAGTTTGGCTACCAATTGAGATTTCTCTCTGTTCTTCTCATTGAATAACTCTAGCACTTCTTTGTATTCCCTCTCCTACAAACCAATAAATCAAATTCTTAGTAATGCATAAAGTAATCTCAACTTAAATTAAAAAAAACAAAAATAAATTTAGTTATGCACCATGCTCCCCATATGGTAAGCTATATATAGAGATTAAAAAGAAGAAGAAAAAAAAATGATATCCCATTAATATACAAAAAATAGAGATAATTTTTTGCACATGTATGTTTAGTTTTAGAGCTTTGTTCTACAAATTTCTAAACTTTATATTTTATTTGTCTAATATGTCAATAAACTTTGAAAAATGTCAAATACATCTCTAACTTTTTTATTTATTATTTATTGTGTAATGAAATCTACTAAATATTTTTAAATTTAAGAATCTATTAAACACAAAATTTAAAGTTCATATATAAAAAATTTATATATCAATTTTGTATCTTATAGATCTCTAAATTATAATAAGTAATTATCTATATAAGACACAAAATTTAAAGTTAAGAAACTTATTAGATACTCCTCAAAAACATATTAACACAACATTGAAAATTCATAAACCAAACTTGTAATTTAACAGTCTTATTCTATTTATCGAGTCCCAATATAGATAAATATTGATAACAAGGTCGAAATTTTATTGTAATTTATAAAATTTTAAGTACATTTTATTTTAACTAAAAGATTTAAAGTCTTTATTTTTTATTTTTTAGTCAGAGATAGGTGTTTCGCTCTCTAAAAAACCATTCTAACATTTGAATGTTTGTTATCGATATATCTTTTCTTTTAATTTAACAACATGTGAGAATTCGAACCCCGACATTTTAATTGGAAATATAGTGTTACTAGTTGAAGATAGCTCAACTTATCGAACTTTCTCAAGTATGTCTATTGGACAATTTGAAAGCTCATACCAAGGTGAATAATTTTGAAATTTGAATATATATATTAGCAAAAGTTGCATGCAAGTAGTTGTGTGCAGTAGTAATTTAGAAATATTTTGAGAAGAAACTGAGAAAAGTTTGAGAATTTGATTTGATTTTTGGGGATGGAGTTTGAATTTGAGACCTTCTTTTGGCAGGTGAGTCCCAATGGCTTCAACTCTTTGTTCACCAAATCAATCTTCTTCCGGATGAACGATACTTCCTTCCTCATTGGATCCGCCATAGCTTCAAGTTCCTGTAATTTCATTCCATTTTCCTTCATCAGTTCAAATCCAGAAACCCTAAACGATGAACGATGATCGATGCAATGTAGCATTGAATCTTACTTCGCGAATCTCCGCCAATCGCTTGGTGGCTTCCTCGGCTCTTCCAAGGCGTGCCTCCACCTTGTCTCTCATCTCCATCTTCTTCCTCTCGATCTCCTCTTCCTTGGCGCGGAACAGAGCGAACGCCGATCGCGAAAGCTCCTCGTCTTGATCCTCCTTCAACGGACTCCCAATCGCATTCACATGGCTTATCATGCCCGAGTTCCTCACTCGCTGCATCTGCGATTGTTGCGCCTGCGCCTCCCAGCTCTGTTTCTGCGTCGTCATGCCCTGCCCTGCTGATCGATCCTTCCAAATGATGATTCTCTTTCTCCGTTAGGTGGCCATATACGCAAAGCGCCGCAAGGGCTTTAAAGGTATGTATCCTTATTACTTTATCAACAGACATCGTAATCAATCTGAAATTGACCTAATTGTGTCTAGCAATAGAGAGATTTCACCTGCGCTGTGCACTCTGCTGCTGATTTTGTTGTGAATTTTGAACCAAAATACACTTATCTTTACTCAAACGCCTAATTGATTAGAACTGAATTTACAGATTTTTTTGAAGTTTTTTTCTTATTTTTTTCTGCCGTTTGAAAAGAGTTACCAAATTGTGATGGAGAGTTTACTTTTGCTTTGGGTCAAAGAAGTGGAATATTTTAGTTTTGGCAATGATTTGTGGGGGTCTCTTAGGAATTGAATTGGAGGTGCTTGGGATGGAAGTTTTGTATTGGAGTGGTGAGTAAGCTGTTACCTGCACTGAGTATGAAATGAAATGAATTGGGGAAAACCTTAAGAAGCAAGGCTGAGTTGGAGAGATGGGTAACAGCAAAACTTTAAAAAAGGCTGCTTCTCTTTTTGTCCCCATATCATTACTTTGCTTACTTGCAAGAAAGATCACTCACCTTTTCCTTTCTTTTTCCCATTATTTCATTCCTTTTTGTGGAGCTTTCTTTAGCAGTTTGCAAGGAATCAATTCTTTCCTCTTTCCTGTTTTGAAAACAGTTTTCTGTTTTTGAGAACTGTGATAGTAAGAGATATGTATATTAATATTATTGTGTACCTTGAACTCAATATTTCAAGATCAAGAATATAGCAGATGGAGATTTAAATCTTTACCTATAAAAAAGATTATTGATGTCTTTACTGTTTTAATGACTCGTGTTGTGCCACTAAATTTAGATTAATTATTTTTTTTATAAAGAAAAAGTTTCTCTCTCCCCTCTCTACATTTCTCTTCTTATGTGTAAAAAATTTAATGGTAGATAGCAAGATATTCATGTTGCCCACACATTAAGGAAGCACCGTCCAAAAGTACCCAAAACACGCAGCAAGAACTCTTAATAATAATTATAAAAGAAAATATAGAAAAAAAAAAAGAACAAAGAGGGTGAGAGGGTTGTGTAGAAAACTGTGGTAACTGGTAAGTAACTGTTACCTTTAGCATTTTTTTTTAATATGTAAAATCTGTGTGAATAGTAAAATTTTAAAAGTTATTCTCGATTGAACGAAAGTTGGACATCTTATGAAATTGTTCTAGAAACATACACTCTCAAACAACACCTAGTTTCCTTATATGCAAAAAGAAATAAAAGCTCTCACAATTTAACTCAACTTTACAGGCATTTTTCTATTTCATAGTCTAGGGTGAATCCTCTCCAAACTTGATAAAATTAGAGCACCCAAATCAGAACCCAATGGAGACTAAAGCCAAGAAATCTTGTAATGCCTACTTTTGAATGCATAAACTTTCCATACAAAAGTCAGTGTGAAAACATCTCATTTTATGTTTTGGATATAAATGGAGCATGCACTTCTATCAAAACCTAGTCATTCTACCTTTTCTCTTATCATATATTCTAAAACACTCTTCTCAATTTTCAATCTAGTCAAATAGCCACTAATTTTCAACTTTTGGTATCATTTTTACATGAATTAACAATACCCACTAATTGCTGTCAGCCAAAGCCATTAAGAAATATTGAAATATTATACGCTTGATCATGGGAAGTTAGATGCGCTTTCTCTAACGTTAAAGTGCCTTTCCCCAATTTAATGACTTTATCTTCTTTCCCTTTATTGGTGATATCCATTGGAGAAGTAAAGTTTAAACTACCACTTGGATTTACTTGGAACCAAACTGAGTTTTGGGTTATATAATTGCAAATTGGAAGAAAAATCCAAATTTTTGGGTGCTAGATCTCTGTCTCAATAAAGCTGAAAGAAGAAAATGAGAAAAGTGTTGCAAAAATAAGGAAATTTTGCATGATAAGTGATCATTTTAAGAACCAATTGCAATCACCTCTCACTTCATATTTGGAATGAACTTTTCAAATATGTATATTTCTATATGAGATGATAAGATGAAATAATTATTTATTCAAAATAGAATAAGGCTTGATCCTGTTCATGAGGATTTTCTAAAGTAGATGGATAGTCCTCTAGTTCCCCCATAGATGGAGTGCTCTTTACATAATATTTACAACTGTGGTATCTCTGTTTCCATTCAAGAATCGCCTGTTTTAAGCATAAAGGTCATCTCTTTGGACAAAATCAACCACCAGTTCAAACTTGTCTCAAAATGTAAAACCCGAGAAATTCACTTTGAAGTTCCTAATCAACAGCTAACAATCACCTTCTGGTGAATTTTTTGGACCTATAGTATAAAACTGGCATTCTGGTTTCCCATTTCACCAACAGAAACTAGGCCTCTTATATTTTACATCCCTTTAGCAAGTTATCTTTAAACTTAGAAATCAAAAGATGCTAGCAACCTTGTCAGCCATCAAGGCTCTTGGGCATGGAATTTCTGAATTCTCAAGAGTTGAGTTGAAAAACTATTTTTTTTATTTTCTAGAACAAGTATTTATTAGAAACATGTTAGGGTAACTGTTTTCTAAACTTATGCAGGAAACTAAAAATCATGCCATCGAGAACTCTACAAGTCTGTTTATAGTTCAAGGTCCGTTTACTAATTAATCTTATACCAGCTTTAGATCCAGAATCCAGAACAAGTTTGAAAATCTGCTATCGATCGACCTTCCTGGGCAAACAATAAACACTGGAATCTTGTCTCATACAATACAACGAAAAAGACATCTGTAAATGCAAAACCATTCTGTTACCTATGGAAGGTACAAAGTTGGACACATATCACCGGTTCCAACTACCCAGAACAAGAATCCATGTTACATAAAAGGACCCTTCTACCTGGGACAAAAGATTTGAGAGTTGGAAACACTGCACCCTACATTTATTGTCTATAGAAATTGGCTGCCAGGATGATATTACATAATGATCAATCCAAGCTCCTGCAATGTGAAACAAAATCAATCCCCACTGGCACAACCCCTGCAACCACAATGCACACACTCCACAGCTTTCTCTTCTCTCAAGTGTTTCGGGACTCGGCAGACGCAAGTCGTCCCGAAGTTATGGTCCCGGGGCTGTATGCAACGGAGGCAACATAGACGCTCATACCCCGGCTGTAATTCAAATAGAAGTTTGTTTAAATGCTATCCTGGACTATCACAAGAATCAGAAAGCACCAATGCAGAACTGATAACAAATGAAGGATAAGCATTGTTGTCCAGCAAGACATGTATGCAATGCAGCAAACTGTGGAGGAGAAACAACAGATTTGTTTTTTTCTTTTTAATAAGAAACTTCACTTTCATTGAGAAAAATGAAACAACAGATTTGTTTGTGGTAGTATGAAATGAACAACCTTTTTCCATTTGGCAATGAGGTTGGCATCAGCATAGCCTTGTTCCAAGCAGAAGTCATAGAGCTCCCTAGATATTTCAGTTCTTTTATGGAAAAGGTCAAAAATGTATCGGCTCCTTTGATGGGAAATCTTGAAAATAGGCCACAGTGCTTCACACTTGCGCTTGCCATCCTGTGGATCATTCTCAGCTGCAAAAAGAAGCCTGAAAACATCAGAAAAAGAAAACCCAAAAGGGAAAAGAAATCAGAAGAAGCCTACCTTCTCTCATCTTAGCATCAAGCTCTCGTAGAGTTGGCTCAATCAACTCCCAGCCATTAGGGTATTTGAGATTGCTGGTCTTCACTTTAGGCATTTCTCCAGCTCCTGCCGAATGAACTAAGAACAATAAGCTTCTTCAACTCCTGCGAGTTGCAGTGAGTGGAAATTACAGACGAAAGTTCCAGTGGAAACCTGATGGAAAGCTTAGGGTTTGGTCGTGTATCAAAGGATTAGAAGCTAAATCAGAGCACTGGAGAGCGATTGGGCAGTGCGCACCCTGGAGTTTGAGGTATACTAACACAAGGACTGGACCAAAAATAAAAAACAAGGCGAATTAAATTTGTTTTTTCTTTTTTTGGTTCTTCGTATTTGGGTAGTTTGTCTATTTCGTCGAGTTTCAAAATCCAATACCTTGTTCCTACTTTTACTTTAAATAATGTGACGTGGAGTATTAATAATTTTTTTTAAATATAAGGATTTAAACCTCTTACAGCTCAATTATATCATCGCTTTGGTAGCATAGTGTATTAGAAAGCATTTTTTAAATTAAAGAAATAATAAAAAGAAAGAAAAGAAACATTGTCCTCCTTCCCTTCCCTGCAAGGCTTACTACTGCTACTATCTGACCTCGTACCTTCCATGAAACAAAGAAGGAAGTTTATCATTTGTTTTAGATCTGGAAAAATTTGGAAAAGAGAAAGGAGATGAACACCCTAACCGGTAGCAGAGATAGAGGTAGCTAGCTTGGAGAGTTGTGGGGGTGGGTGGGAGAAAAAGTGTACGATTTTGCCAAACCTCGACGATCAAAAAAGTATTTTTTCTTTTTATTCCTTGATATATAACTAATTCTAATAGTTTAATCTAAGTTTAAGTTGGACTGTGGTTCTTGAATTTTTAATTTTTTTCCATTTTGTTTTTTTAATTTGTAAAAATTTAGAGACCAAAATCAAACAAACCTAAAAATTTAGGAATAGGCAAAATTTCAAGGACCAAAATAAAATAATCTTGAAAGTTTAGGACCAAATGAGAAACTAAATATATGTTTTTCAACTGAGTTCATATTGTTTAAGAAATTTCACTCTGGTTTATTATGCGTTTACACTTTTCAAATTAGCTTAAATACATAATATTTAAAATGTTAAAAAACACATTTGGTCCTTGTATTTTTACTAAAGTAATAACTCAGTCCCAAAACTTTAGTTTGTAACGGTTTAGTCTCTGTCCTTTCATTAAAGTAACAAATGTAGTCTCTAAATTTTAGCTTGTAATGATTTACTTTCTGTATTTTAAAATTTGTAACAACTTAGTCCCTATCGTAACACAATTTATTAAAATTAAGCGTTCAATTTTATCATATAACAATATAATCTTTCTAATTTATAAACATATTTGGTCCTTCTTTAGTTTATCAATCTATATATATAAGAAACTTAACAAAAAAGATTCACGATAATGACTAAATCGTAACCAACTCTAAATTACAATGACTAAATTGTTAATATTAAAGTTTAAAGACTAAATTGTTACCAATTTGAAAGTACATGAATTAAATTGTTACAAACTAAAGTTAAAATGACTAAATTGTTACTTTAACAAAAGTATAGGGACCAAAAGTGTTTTTTAACCTATTTAAAATTGGCATGGAATGATAAAAGTTCTATGAAATAATAAAATTTACGTTTCATCATTCAAATCTCTAAGATATTTGTGGAAATTAAATTTCGAGTTTTCTTATCTTGATGACATTTTTTATCTTTTAAATCCATACCAATTCACCAACTTTTATGTCATATAAGTTTTATCATCGATCAATTTGATCGTTCATGAACAACATGAGGCTAGGTTATGGGTGTTCGTGGGTTGGGGTAAAGTACTTTTTAGATCCAATCTAATTGTTTATAGTAGGTCATATTAATTTTACGAAATGTCTATTTTTTAAAAATATTTACAAATCTAGATTATTGAGATTTAAATAAGCTCTTTGTTCATAAATTATCCTTAATAAATGTCATTTTATTACATTTATTATTATATTTTAAAACGTATTTTTTACTAATAAGAATAGATGATAATTTAATGCAAATATTTCGACAGTTCTTCTTTGATGGAATATATTATTTTTTTCAAATTTAAGGTTTGAGGTTTAGGGGACATGGTTTCGGGTTTTAGTTCAAAAATTATTTATAGAGGATTTGGTATTTTGGTTTAGAATTTTATTTATTTACTAAAAATATATGAATATATGTAGCTCGATGGTTTTCACATGAGCCATCATAATCTGATTTTTAGTTTTGACAAATATGTAATATTATAATTTTTAGACATTTATGTAATTAAGTGCTTAAAAACTCCGGTTGTATTGTTATCCCTAAATAGCAAACTCAAGTTAATCATAAAATATATCGATTCGATTGGTTCCACTTAATTGGGTCACTTATTCAATGTATCATATCACAACATCCACRACCTTTATTTATTATATTGTTTACATTGATAGAAATTATTTATATGAAAATGTACACTAGAAAAGCTTAAAAAATTGTTTTTAAAGGACGTGGTAGAACAAATAATACCTAAAGAATTATTGAATCAAATAAAAAATATATATAATTTGTATAATGAGGAAAAAAATAATAATAAGTTTTTGTTGGTTGAATTCAACTTTTAACCCACTAGATCTATAGAATTTTTATTTATTTGAAACCAATATTAAAACACTGTTAATGAAAAAAGATTCAAATATAGTAATTGATATATATACTTATAGGTAGTGAATTTTATCTCAATGAACCTGCCCACGTCATTTGCTAAAAAAAACCCTAAAAGAAAAAAAAATTGGAGAGTATTGGTATTGACTAATTTCAAACTTTTGGTCCGTAAGTGAATGCCAACCCGTCGTGGGCTCGTAGACTGTAGTTGCAGCTTCACACAACAGCCAGCTCGAAGAACCCTAGGAATACACGAAGATGGAAGATCCTCTGAATGGCAATGGCAATGGCACTGGCAATGTCGATTCCGCAGCAGCAAAGCCACAGCCCGACGAGGAGGCAGCCATCGGCCCCGGTCCGGCCCCTCGCGCGCGACCCAAACGCCCCCTACAGTTTGAGCAGGCCTATCTAGACACCATCCCCTCTGCCAACATGTATTTCTCTCTCCCTCTCTCACTCTCTCTCTCTCTCTCTCTAGGTTTCTCCGAGATTACCCGTCTTGAACTGTTCTAGTGATTATAGGGTGTACTTTAATGAAATGGGAAGTTTAGGTATTGAGCTGATTCGATCAGCTGAATCCGGAGGAGAATTTAATATGGGTTTGTGGGTTTCTGAAGTTATAGTTAATTCCTCATCCATTGTTGTTTTTCCTTTGACAGGTATGAGAAGAGTTACATGCACCGGGATGTGGTTACTCATGTCGCTGTGTCTTCTGCAGACTTTTTTATAACTGGGAGTGTTGATGGTAAAATTCTAATAATGTTATCTTCCAACATGGCTAATTTGCATTCTGGATTTTGGATACTTGTCACTCTGGCACACGCTCGTGTATGTTTGATGTTCGTTGGGACTATCATTGGCTGATGGCAATCTTGATATGCTTAGACAGAAGGATTATTGTTTAGAAGTTGTTTTCTTAACTGTAAAAAATGCGTGTTGGATAATTATTCGTTAAAAGTCATCTTTTCCTACTCTTCTCTCCTTAATCCGATGTTAAGAAAAATAAATTGTAACCACTGAACCATGCCAATGTACTAATTTAACGATCTTTCTGATTATTTCGTCTCTTTCTCTCCCTGCCCACCCCACATAGGGCACTTGAAGTTTTGGAAGAAAAAGCCTATTGGTATTGAGTTTGCCAAGCACTTCAGATCCCACCTTGGTCCAATTGAAGGCTTAGCTGTGAGTAATTTTCTTGCTTTCTGTTTACATGCTTCAAAATTTATTTTCTTTGAGTTATGATATTCTACCATTATCAGTTTCATAATTTGTTTCAGTTTTGCAGGTTAGCATTGATGGTCTGCTTTGTTGTACAATATCAAGTGATCATTCTGTAAAGATATATGATGTAGTTAATTATGATATGATGGTCATGATACGGCTTCCTTTTGTTCCTGGTGCTGCTGAGTGGGTCTATAAACAAGGGGACGTCAAAGCCAGGCTTGCTATCAGTGATCGAAACTCATCATTCGTGCACATATATGATGCACGATCTGGTTCAAATGAACCTATTGCCTCTAGAGAGGTTTGATGGCATCTTTAATCATCATAGAAAGCTGAAGTAAATAATGTTCAATTAGGGAGGGGGTGGGGAGCAGGATTGTAACGCTTTTTAGTACAGTTACACATATGAGTCACCTTATGGTGTGCCTGATCTCAACTACTAATTTGTCTTATTTTGCTTCCAGGTACACTTGGGGCCAGTGAAGGTTATGAAGTACAATCATGTATTTGATGCAGTTATATCTGCAGATGCCAAGGGAATTATTGAATACTGGACCCCTGACACACTCCAGTTTCCAGAAAACGAGTATGTTTTTCTACATGGTTTTAATTTTAATTATATGTTATTGATTAAAATAAACTAGAACAACAATCTTCGGCCATTGGGATGAGAGAATCCTATGCCAAAAAGACTTGTGAAAAGACTTGTGAAGAACACTCTAATTTGAGGCTGTGGTACACGACCATAGATAAAAAAAAATAAAATTATATGTATCTTAAAATGTTATGGAGTTCCTTTCTTTCCAAAGGACCAAAGGATCGCTTGGCTTGCATTGCATTGCATTAGACCAGAGAAACCTAGCATTGTCTTTAAACCACCAACCAGATGACCATCCAATGAGGCCATCTTCCGCCATCTTAGGAGAGCAGCAGGCTAACTCAATACACATTTCACTTTTGTTATACATGACACATAAATGCGATCATCTAATAGTCATAGAAAAGCCCGCCTCCATGGTAAGAAGAGAACTCAAGAATTCATTAAAATAAGCTGATTGAAGATTAAAAAAAAGGCTTGAAAAAGAAATAACTTATTAATTAAGCATGGTGAATCAATACATGTCTTCAATTTTTATGGTGGGTCACTGGGTTGCAGTGGAATAAATTCTATGTTATTTGCAAGCTGTGCAGCCTCCAGTTAGATGTGAGAGTTACAATTGTTTGAAAACCCGAGAGATATAAGAGATGTGTCGGAAAATTGAGTTTACAATGACGTGGTCAAACATAACTTATTCAGTAAGCAAGGTGAATCAATACTTTATACATGTCTTCACTTACGATGGGTCATTGGGCTCCATTAGAACAAATTTTATGTAATTTCCGAGCTACACTTGGACACAAGAATTTATATAAAGATCATGAGAAGGAAAAAGGAATATTGAAAACAAAGGGAAGAAAACAAATTGCAGGTCATACAAAGATTCAGTTCTTTTCAAATGCTGACTGGGCAAAATTTTGGGAAGATAGAAGATTAATTTAATGAAGTTGTGTTTTGGTTGGAGCCGGAGGTTATTTGGTTTCATGGAAGAGTAAGAAGCAGGATATGGTCTCATGCTCTCAATTGTTGAATTGAAATATAATAAAGTCATACAGGTTTTTGTTTCTTATTAAAAAAAATAATAATAATAATAAAGTCATGCATAGTTTGTATGTGAAATAATGTGTATACATCAACTTTTAATTGAGTTAGGTTTTAATATTGCAATTCTAACTAAATTATGCTGTGAAGATCAAGCTGCTCATCCTGCTCTTCATTTTACACCCAACCTAGACAGATACGTAGTAAATGCACTAAAATAATTTCTTGAATGGAAATCCAGTGGTGGGGAGGATATTTAACAGTTGTTGGATCATTGCTAGATTTTTCATGTTTGGTATCTGTCTTTCTGAATTCCATGTATATGTGATAGTGTTTTATCTGGCTTTTGCAGTGTCAACTTTAAATTGAAAAGTGATACCAACCTCTTTGAAATTGTGAAATGCAAAACAACTGTTTCTGCTATTGAGGTAAAATATTGGTGTTAGTTTGTATATAAATTCTCCTACATAATAATAAAGTAGCAATTGTGGATGCGTGCACGGCGGGAATCACTCTTTCACTGTACTACTTCAGGTCAGCCCAGATGGTAAACAGTTTTCTGTTACATCACCTGATCGGAGAATACGTGTATTTTGGTATCGGACGGGTAAACTAAGACGAGTTTATGATGAATCTCTAGAGGTAATATTAAATTATGGTGAAATTTTTGTAATACCCTTGATGTTGGACATTTCTGATCTTTTTAATCCTTCATTAATTAGGTTGCCCAAGATCTACAACGAAGTGATGCACCTTTATACCGATTGGAAGCAATTGATTTTGGGAGGAGAATGGCTGTTGAGAAGGAAATTGAGAAGACAGAAAGTGCTCCACAACCAAATGCTGTTTTTGATGAGAGCTCTAATTTTCTCATCTATGCGACTCTTCTTGGAATAAAAGTAAGATACTAATGTTGGGTAAAGTGATCTCCGCAATTCTGTAACCATCAGTTATCTTCCTCAATTCTGCATCCAGAAGAAATATTTAAATATTACAGCTGGGCCAAAATACAAATTCTTTTGATAATAAGGGACATATGGATATATATCAATTTTAAATTTCCTAAAAAAAATACTACTCTTTCTTCCTCTTCTAAAAGGTTACTGTATACTTGTGTGGACGCACATATATTAGGTAGTAAACTTGCACACAAACAAAGTTGCTCGGATCCTAGGGAAGGTGGAGAACAATGACAGGTTCTTGAGAATTGCTTTGTACCAAGGTGACAGAAGCAGTAAAAAGGTTCGAAAAATCCCCTCTGCTGCTGCAAATGCTAACGAGAGCAAGGAGCCGTTGACAGATCCCACTCTGTTATGTTGTGCTTTCAAGAAACATCGGATATATCTTTTCAGGTAAGAGGTATTTTTCCTAGGACATATTGCTGTGCAGGCGGCATGCAAAAATGCCTTTTACAAGTATTTTTAGCTTGTTAATATCTATGGTTATCTCATCATATCGAAGGTTCACTCTACTCTTTTTTATTTTAATTTTTGTCACACCGTGAAGTTTTGTCCTTTTATTTTTTTGGTTTAAGAAACCATTTCTTTAAAATAAAAAACACTGAGCAAAAGCTAAGCTGCACAAAAAAAAGGCCAAGACTCAAAGGAGGACAAAACAAAAAGAAACGTTAAGTTTACCTCAAATTATTGGTAATCAAGGGAAGACAAATGTCATAAAAGCTGGATACAAAAGTTCATGAGGAGGCATTGAAGTGTGTTAGCACTCCAAACCTCCTCTCACTTATGTTTGTATTTTTTTTTTCTTTTGATACAACACGTGGGGATGTGGGTTTGAACTCATGACCTTTTGGTCAGAGATAGGTGTCTTAACCATTTGAGCTATACTCGGTTTGACACTTATGTTTGTATTGATGAGCATTGTTTTGAAAGTGTGCAAGCGATGTGTGCACTGTTGATACCTCGCCTAATGTTAGGCCTAATTAAGTCACTCTAGCAGTGTGCTAGTTGGGTACAAATTATGTTGAGGTAGATCAATTGAGGAATCAGAAACTCAATTGTAATAAAGCTTGAGGTGTAGACTGTAGAGAATGGGCCATCTAAACTATGTCTACGGCTAAGGAGTAGTAGGTCAAGGCAAGGTATATTTTTATTGTAAAACAAACATATTCTTGATTTGCCAAATTAAGAATGAAAGTCGTGATGCAGGTCTTAAAATTTGATGATGGTAGAAAGTTATTTGAAGATGTGTTCTATGGAAAACCAAGAGTTGACAAGAACACTAGTTGACCTTGAGGAAGGAATTTTACAGAGCGAGTTGACAAGAACACTAGTTAGGAGCTAGTTAGCATTGAAGTTCCTAGCTAAGAGCTTTTACTTGGTTTTTGATTAACACCAATCATGTGCATGTATTCTTCATCTGCTGTTGGTTGGGGAGGACGTCTCATTTTCCCTTTGACCTTTTATAGATGTTTCTTTCTTTAATGTTGTTATACGTTCCTTATTTAAAAGAAATAAAAGGGAAAAAAATTGCGCTGATATATAACTTGACCTTGGAGAGGTTTGAATGAATAACACAGCATTTCATGTTATTTTAATGAGAAATGCCCTCTTCATATTCATTTCTTTCATAGTCACGAGTGTTCTTGCACAAAATATATTTTTTTCCCTTTCTTATTTTGATATGAATTTATTTTATTTTATTTTATTTTATGAAGTCGAAGAGAGCCTGAGGAACCAGAAGATGCAACAAAGGGAAGAGATGTATTTAATGAAAAGCCTCCAGCTGATGAACTGTTGGCAGTATCAGATATTGGCAAGTCAGTTACAACGTCTCTTCCTGATAATGTGGTAAGTGTACTTTTTCTTATCCCTCTACACGGAAGTTTTCTTGTCGCAATGAAACCCTGTTCAAAAGTATTGTTAGAACAAGGTCTTGTGTCATGTGAGAGTCCTAATAGGGATATATACAGAGCAGTGTTATTGAGGCGCACCTGGGCGCTCGCCTCAGGCGAGAGGTGAGGCGATTTTGCCCAGGTGCGCCTTGCAAGGTGCCCAGGCGAGCCCCTTAAATCAGGCGCTCGCCTCGGTGCGCCTCTCGCCAGAGGCCAGGCGATCACCTCATTGAAGCGAGGCGATCTGCCTTATATTTTTTTTGTTTAAATTTTTAGTGTGTTTTTTTTAAAGAACCTTTCTCCCTCGCAAAATACCTCGTCCACAAACCCTAACCATTCTCTTTGCCTCTCCACATTCACCTTCACCACCCTCAATCTCTGGCTATCGCTTGCTCCCATCTCCGACCATCGCTATTGCTGCTTCTGTCTTCGACTAAACTTATTGAATTTGGTTGTTTTATATATCTTGTTGACATTTACTATGACACTATTTTGGTGCGCCTCGCTTCACTCAGGCGTCGCCTTTGTATCGCCTCTCGCCTCAAGCCGATCAAAGGGCTTGTCGCCTTGAGGTGCGCCTTGCACCTTGAAAACACTGATAGGGAGTATTGCTAGTATGTTAGGGAAGGGGCAATATGGTAATTAGTTAGGGGTAAGTTGGTTATAAATAGAAGTAGTAGGGAGGGAAGGAAGGCATCTTGGGAAATAGTTAGTGGGAGGAAATTGAGAGAGTTCTTTGGGAGAGAGATAGCCCTCTCGAAAGGCTACCGATACTGTAGTTTCTATTTGAGATTGCAATATAGTTATCTAGTTAGGTTCTTGTATTTGGGATCCTAACCTGTCATTCCTTCTTTACTATGTTATCGTTAAGCCCATTGTTGTATATAGTATTTTTGTAGATTTTTCTTTATCTGTTGGAAAGATTTTGCCTTTAGGTACACAACGACACTACACATGGTATCCAACTATGTTCATGTTAATATCAAGTGTCATTTTCGAACACATTTTAAGTAATTCATTTATATATATACATATATGTATCTAGTCTCTCGACTATAAAGAAAACTGATTTGTCTGATTCATGCTTCCTCAGATATTGCATACCACGATGGGAGACATCCATATGAGATTGTATCCTGAGGAGTGTCCAAAAACAGTGGAAAACTTTACAACGCACTGCCGGAATGGTTATTATGATAATCTCATCTTTCATCGGGTCATCAAGGGCTTCATGGTACAGACAGGAGATCCTTTAGGAGATGGAACTGGTGGACAGTCTATTTGGGGAAGAGAGTTTGAAGATGAGTTTCACAAGAGGTAACTATATTGATAGGTGGTTATTTTTATCCGTCCTGAGTTACTTTAAATGGTTTAGTGCAGTTCCTAGTGGTGGTTCTGATACCAATGATGCATTTGGGCATGGGTTTTCTGGCAGTAGCAGTGCTTTCCAATCCTTATAATGGAGTATATTCTTCTTGCATAAAGCATCATCATCTTTATTAACTCCTGGCTCCCTTTTCTCCTATCCCCGCAAAAACCACCAACATAATTAATTCTCCCTTTATAACCCAACAAAACGGACTGATTTTTAATCCAATCTATAGTCTATAGAAGTTTAGATGAACTAACAAATTGTAGAAAAGCTATTATCTCTAGTGCCTTTTTATTTTTTTGTTGGATAAGGAAAAATGCTAATATCTAACTTGGAAGTTGGGACCTCTCACTACGTAATTTTATGGTTTTTTAGTTTTGGAGCTACTGCTTAAAGCTTGCTTGTTAATCATATGGTTTGGGCATCTTGTTTCTTTGCAGTTTACGGCATGACCGGCCTTTCACTGTTTCAATGGCTAATGCAGGCCCAAATACAAATGGGTCTCAGTTTTTTATCACAACAGTAGCCACTCCTTGGTTGGACAACAAGCATACAGTGTTTGGAAGAGTTATTAAAGGCATGGATGTTGTACAGGTATGGTTTTGTTGTCATGACCGTTCATTGACCTATCTTTTTAGTGTGCATGGGATTTTTGTTTGTTCGTTCTATTTATTATACTTACTGCGTAGTAACGAAATCTATGAACATATATATGCAAATGTTAGTTAGATGATTTTGAATGACATTGCAAAACTTCTGATATTATGTCTACTAAAGATGAACTAATGAAAACCAGGGAAAGTTATTAACGTTTTTGTTGATAATTCAGTAAAAATGAATATCTATGATGGTAAGTTGAGGCTACCGACAAATATACTGAAGATAGATTATGGTAGAAATATTGATGCGGTCTCAGTCCGTGCTTTTGTTTACATTTATGTTATTCGAGTTTGTGCCCTGCATCTCTTTGTTCATGATCATGGTGAGAGCTGAGAGCTGAGAACTAAGAATATTGTTTAATTCTTCTGCATTTATCTAACAGACAATTGAAAAAGTGAAGACGGACAAGGCGGATAAGCCATATCAAGATGTGAAAATTTTAAATGTATCTGTTCCGAAGCCTTGAGGTTCCGCTCTAGAGATCGTCTTGTCAGCATAGTTGCTAGGCTCAGGACTCTTTGCCCCCCCTGCAGGTGTGGAATTCAGGTAAAATATATATCCGTGTTCATGGTAGTTAGATGTGGTGGGCTAATTTTATCCGTTTCCCCATTTGAATGAGTTGGCAATAATCCACGGTTGCAATTCGATCACTATTTTGTTTTTGTTTTTAGTTTTACCTTTTTAAAAACTATGCTTGTTTTTGTGCAATTTCATTAGTAAATTTTTACCTTTTTTGAAAATATTTTTGAATTCTTAGTCAAATTAATTTTTTTTGAAAACTACTTTTTTTGGCTTTCAAAATTTGGCCCTTTTTAGAAAAAACTATATAGCAAAACAAAGGAACACAATTTTCAAAAATAGAAAACCAAAAACAAAACGGTTATGATCTTAAATTTTAGTATTTTTTGGTTAAACATTTCACTGATATGTGAAATTACAGTAGTGGGAAAAGAAGCCCCAGTGATGCTTAAGATAGTTTTCTCATGAAGTCATATTTTCAAGAATCAAGCTGACTCCTCCCTTGAGATAGTCTGATTACCATTTTGGAATTTAAGCTTTAACAGCAGGCAATGGGTGTGGAAGTTTGAGCTACCCTATCTATTTTAGGAGTATAACAATATGGGATGCAACCCTCGGAGGGATTGAAATATGTAGGTGCCGTTTGATAACGATTTCGCTTTACTTTTCTGTTTTTCAAAATTATAATTGCTTTCTCACAATTTCTTTAATATGTTTTTAACCTTTCTTCTAAACAAATTTGGATTCTTAATTTTTAAAATCTGGCTTTGAGAATGTATCTTATTTTAATTTGTCGTCTTATTTTTTATAATGAGTTCTGTTATCTGCAGGATTGCTGATATATCTCCAAATTTCTACTTCTGAATTGGAAGGACCTGAAAATCCGTCATCCTGCAGGTTTTTTTTTTTTCGAAATGTCCCCGCGAGTTGGAACACGAGATCTTTTGGAGCTCGCGACTCTGAGTTATCTAAAAAGTGAAATCTGAAAGATTGTCTATCTTTTGAGATCTCTCACCCAAAGAATAGAGTGATTTTAATGCACAAGTTAGTTGGTCATTATAGTCATTTTCCTCTTCATATTGTTCATACCATTCCCTCATAACCCTTGAGCTGAAAATTGTAGACTAGTTTATTTATTGTTGTTTTTTTTTTTCTCTGCATTATCTTTTGAAAAACATGTGGAAGAAGGAAGATCCGTTTTTTCTTGTTTCTTTGTATTATATAAACCTGAGATTGAGGAATGTATGATTTGAGTAAGAAGAAATAGTAAAAGATGCAGGCAATGTACTATTATTATCAGATTATTTATTTATTTTAAATCATGAAAACATTATTATTATTTTCAATCATATGGTAGTTTAAGTTATTTAATAATTGGTTTACCAATATTTTGTTAGCCAAACTAATCAATCTGTTTGCCTTTTTTTTTGGTGAAAGAATCATTAATTAATTGATCAATAATTAGTAATAAAATTATAAGTGAAAATATTTGCCTTAAACGAATATCAATTTATAAGGGAAGTAAAAGTAGAAAATAACATTAAATAAAGGTAATTTGCTAATAAAAAAAGAGTTCAAACAGAAAATTAAAAATATAAATAATTAAAGAAATGGACATTTAAGAAATATTGATTGTGAGAAGATGACATGATTTATGTGAATTTAATCTCATAAATTTGAAACAAAATTAGATATGTGTGGGGAACATGTCTTGGTACCAACCCTAGCGGATTTGTCTAGTTGAGTCATGTAAGTTTGACACCGAACGTAAATGGGGAATCGACATTTCTATTGTACAGTAAAAAATCAAAGTTCAATTACTATTTTGGTTTTTGCACTTTCAATTTTGGTTATGGTTAGTTTTGGTCTTTGTACTTTTGAAATGAGAACGTAAATGGGGAATCGACATTTCTATTGTACTGTAAAAAATCAAAGTTAAATTACTATTTTGGTTTTTGCACTTTCAGTTTTGGTCTTTGTACTTTTGAAATGGGATTTGTTCGGCCTCTTCAATTTCATTTCTATCTTACTTATTTCGATCATAATTTTAGCATAACGTTTTATTCACAAAGTTAATTAAAACGTAATTATAAATTTGTATCAAAATGCTTTCCATCAAGTATAAAATTTGTGTTAAAATTTTGCAAATATACATAGACTATGGTCTTTTTAGAAGTACAGAGATAAAAACAGACATTTTTAAAGTATAGGGACTTAAAATGAATAAAAATTAAAAGTGTAGAGTTGAAATACTAAAAAAATATAAACAAAATATCAACGCCAACGTCCATCTTATTTTAAAGTTAAATGATTACTTATTAATTTAGTATATATATATTTTATCAATTTCTTGATTTTTATGATTTTCTAGAAATATCCATCTATATTTACCTAGACATTTTTGTAAAATTGAGATATTGACATTTTGGAGGTATTTTGAAGACGAACTTTTGTAATTGAATATGAAAACTACTTTCCTTTGTACATTTAACAGGTGAGATCCCACTTAGTAGTTAACATACATTATAGTACAAACGACGTAAGTTACATCGGAGTAGAATAATGGTTAAAAATAATTTGCTTCGAAACACGTTGGGACGAGAAATCAACCAAATATCGAGGTGATTACGAAGTACAAGGTCCGCGATATTACTCCTTTGTCCTCCTTCCAATCTCCCCTCTCTTATCATATGGAGAGTTGCCTTGCACTACCCTTAAATATAATTTCTTCACCTTTCTCCCTTTTTTTGAATTGTTTTTTTTTTTAAATTTTTTTTATCCCATAACAACACGAACGACTACAAGCATAGCTCCCTCCTGAACGTTGTACTAGAAAAATAATCTATAGAATCAAATTAAAAAGGAAAAGAGAAAAAAAAAACAAATATAGTGATTAAAATTTAACTAATAAAGACTTAAACAATAACTGAACTTTTTCCTCTTTTTTGTTTTTGAATTTTTATAATCCCTGCGAAACCGTAGTTTTTCAGTATAAATAGGAGTCCCCTCCCCTGAATTCTCTGCAACTAATTCTCGTGATTTCCAGAAGCAAAAATTACACGAACAAAAATCGATCGAAAACTGAAACTGAAACTCAAAAATGGCGTCGATTCATCCTCAGAGACTGATGATGGAGCGGTTCACCTATGCCTTGCGCGAACAGGTAATCAATCCTTTTCACTCTCTCTGCTCCGATCTGTAATCTCAAGAACCGGAATCAAGATTGATTTCATGAATCGCTGTGTTTGTCGCAGGGATTTCTTGATCGCACCTTCGATAACTTGACGAATTTGCACCAGAATGAAAATCCTCTGGCGATCTTCTGCGGACATGCCGAACCTAATCTCACGCAAATTCTACCGTATCTGTAATTAATTTTGATCCGTTCAACTAATTTTGCTATTTCTGTATGTCCGATTTCGTCTAATCTGAATCCGTTTCGATTTTCTAGGCAACCGAGTACTTTGAATTTCGGGAGAGTGCTAAACGTCATCGAACAGGTCAAGGGAAACGCCATCAGGTAATTTTTGGAAGTTCGAAAGATTTTTGAATTCCCCGCCAATTTCTTGCATATAATTTGTGAATTCGAAGTCGTATTCATTTCTCGAACGAACTCTCTGATAACTGATTTATGTGAGAAACCTCTGTTTATATGATTCTTGTTCTCTGTTTTGAAGAAATTAGAGAAATTGAAATGTTTTTCATAGTTGTGTTTTATATGATTCTTGTTTCTGATCAGTGTTGGTGGTAGACGAGTGGCCATTGCTTGTGCTGCGCTGCAAGAACGTTGCAGAGCCTATGACTGTGAGGGGTAAATTTGNAAAAAAAAGAAAAAAAAATCTTCCTATTTTTTGGATAAATTCTTTAAAAGTCATGATGGTTTTTTGTGTGTAGTGCCAATGACGCATATCGGAAGGTCCTATGGGAATACTATATTTTGCGTGACTGTTTCCATCACATTCTGCAGGTAATTATTAATTTGTTTTTGTTAATTCCAATATTATGTCTATTTAGTTCATGAATTTATAAACTTTTAATAACACTGTTTATAAATTTTGAAATTTGGTTAAGATGGTGTGAACTTGTTAGTTAACCTAATCCACTTATTTCATCTAAATTTTGATTGAGACTAAAGATAAATGTAGTTATGAATTAGAGCATCTAAAATAAAAAATGTTAGATTTATTTTATTTTATTTTTGTAACAGGCTGAGAGGACAATCTTTTATAGCCGAGGTTGAAGAAACCAAGTTTAGGAGTTAGAAAAGTGTGTGTGATGTGATTTTTCAGAGTTCGAACAAGCTTTTTTTTTGTTTTTTTTTTTTGAATGTGAATATTCTCTTTCTCTCTCTCTCTCTCCCTCTTTTTTTAGCTTTGTTTTTGTAAGCAAGCTTTTTTGGATTCTAATTCAATTGTTTTTGAAGAAATTCTACTCTCTTTCTCAAATTTTAGTTTCAAGATTGACAATATCCTCCTTTTAGAGTTAATCTTCAAACTATGTTAATCTTTGCAAATAAAAAGATCTTGTTTCAATCCATCTTCTACTGGTTTTTAAAATTCTGCTTAGTTTAGTAGTAATTGGCATCTCTTCTCGATCAAGATTCAGGAATTAGAATCTTCCATCCCTTTGTTGTACTAAACAAAAATCTTGCAACCAAAGTAGATCCGGTCCAAAACCCAGATGGATAATTAGGCAAAACAACAATGGCATATTATAATATACTTGGAATCACAGTCATATATTCATGTGGATTAAAAAAGTCTAAAAGCAACTAATAAAATAGTAGTTAAGAAGAATGGATAAAAAAGGTACTTATAATAGTAGTTAAAACTAAATTATTGATCCAAATATTCACTTTCCAATAATAGGTACTTATCCATGCATGTTTATATTTTATTTTAGCTAGAAATTTGTGCTATAATCACCTGTGGAAAATTATAAGAGTTGTACTTCTCAACAAGAAAGAACAACTTTTGAAAAAATATTGATTCAAATATATATATATATATATATATATATATATATATATATATTTGTGTATCAATAAATGTGGAAACTTGATGGAAATTGGAGATAATAAATAATAAAAATATAAAATAAAAGTATCTATTTAGATCTTAAAATTTAAAAAAGTTCCAATTGTGTTTACAAAATTTTTATAATATTTTTACTTAGGTCTCGAAAATTGACAAATCATTAATTAAATACGATGTTATGACATCTTCTTTTAGATAAATTAACGTATGTGTTTTGTTCATTAATTATAATGTTAAGTTGAAAGACTTTGATAAAAACCTATTCTAAAATTTTGAGACAAAAATAAATGGAGACCAAGTTCAAAATTTATAGACATAAGGTAAAGGTGATTCTCATGATTATATATGAAAGAACAAAAAACCAACCTTACAATTACATCCTTAAATTATAAAATTACAAAAAAATAAATTGTTGGTTAAATATATGTTTGTGGTTAATTAACGTTTGAACGTTTTTTCAATTTAGTTTCTATTATTTAAAAGGGTTTTAATTTAGTACCTTATGTCTTTTAACATTTTTCAATTATACTTTTTCCGTTGATGAAATTGGATGATGGCAAATAATTTGATAGAAAATTTGGAAGAAGAATTAGTAGAAGAGAGAAAAGTTTATAATCTCTCCTCCAAATTAAGACGAAAGCTAAAATATTTTAAATCTGATTTTAAGCTTTTTAGTTATTCTTACTTTATACTTCCAAATTTTTGAATTTTAACAAATTTAGTCTTGATGTAGTCGTAACTAGGTATATCAGTTACAGCTAATTTACCTTATACAAAGTAAATCAATATAATCATTCCCTTTGATTTCTCTCTGCCTTTCCCTTTCATTTTACACATACCCAGCAATCGGACCCATCCTTCCCTTCCCATACATATAGGATTTTAGAAATTTTGACGGTAGAGGCTAAATCGTTACTAATTTAATGTGATAAATTATTTATTTTTTTTGGTAAATCTCATCAAATTTGGGATATTAAAGTCACTATTTAGACTAATGATGAAACATAATTGTTTTAGGCAAAACCCTTGCTATATTTCATTAATGTTAAAGGTCAATATATCACTTCAGCTTCTTTTATTTATTTATTTTTATTATTACATATCACTTGAGCCTTTTTCTAGATAACCTCTAATTAAATATGTATAGCCGTAATTTTGAATAGGAGGTTTCTTAATTCTAAATTATAGAAAATGACAAAAGGATCCTTCCTAGAATAGTAAGAGGGAAATACTTTTTATGATGCTATCTAAAATTTCTAATTTTTAGTAAAAATACACCTTCAACTTCTATAGAATTCCAAATAAAATTTCCCTGTTGATGGGATATACAGTATATTATTGATATATCAAATATCAATATTTGTATAAGGTATATCTATGGTATATCAATATTCAAATTAGGTATATCATTTGTATATAAAAACAAGTCTATCAGTGGTATATCAAATGGGTATGTGTTAACACACACATATATTAATAACTAAATACAATATATTAATGGTATATCAGATGTTCAATGACATGTCAACACACATATATCAATAATTAAATAAGGAAAAAATAATTGGACTTTGTAAAAAATATTTGAAATTTTATTTTCGATTTGTTAGGACCCGTTTGATAACCATTTCGTTATAAGTTTTAGGTTTTTTGTTTTTAGTTTTTTAAAAAACAAGGTTGATTGATAACCAATTCAATTTTCTATTTTTTTTTAAAAACTATTTAAAATTCTATGTAAATTCTAAAAACAAAAATAGTTTTTAAAAATAGATTATTGTTTTTCAAAATCTCATTTTCTTCGACATATTTATCTTTAACAAAATTTTATCACTCCAATCTTTTTTTTTCATACATTTCTCTCCAAAAAAATTATTTTTCTATCTAAATATTTATTATTTTTATTAGATTTTATCCTTCTGTTATTTGTTACTTAGTCAGTCGTTAGTTTTCATGTAACTGTACTTTCTTGATCTATATACATGACCATCTGTTGTAATGCAAGTTTTATTTACTATGTTTTTTCACATTCTCGAGAGTAAATTGAAGGAATTTTTTTTCCCTTCGTTGCCAGCTGTTTTTGCACTTTCTTCAGCCTTGGCGGTTTCTTCCTTGCTAACCGCGATCTGTAGTCCATTTTCTTGCATCGTTCTTCCATGGCCGACGATGAAAATCTTAATCCTACTGCGACTATGTCTTCATCGATGAATCAGCCGCAGATCTCACTCGAGCACTACATCAATCCTTACTTCCTTCATCATTTTGATAACACGACTCTGGTTCTTGTATCAAATTTACTTACCGATGAAAATTACACATTGTGGAGTAGGTCAATGCTCATTGCTCTAACTGTGAAGAACAAAGTCGGCTTCATCGATGGTTCCTTATCACGACCTACTGGTGAGCAATTACATTCTTGGATTATCTGCAACAATGTAGTAATTTCTTGGATTCTCAATTCTTTATCGAAAGAAATTTCTGCACGTGTTCTTTTCTTCGATTCTGCATATGAAATCTGGCTTGATCTAAAAGAAAGGTTTCAAAGACAAAATCGCCCTCTTATTTTTCAATTTCGAAGGGATTTGTCAAATTTGGTGTAAGATCAGCTCTCGGTTAGTTCGTATTTCACTCGTCTGAAGACTCCTTGGACTGAACTAACTTCTTATCATCCATCTTGTACTTGCGGATGATGTACTTGCGGAGGCGTCAAAGATGTTATCAAGTTTCATCAACAAGAACATGTTATGTGCTTCCTTATGGGCTTAAATAATTCTTTTAACCAATTGCGTGCTCAACTACTTCTCATGGAGGCCCGAGCCATCCATCGATCGTGCATTTTCTTTGGTTGCACAAGAAACACAACAAAGAGCGATTACTTTGCCTGTCTCACCTTCGCTTGCTGCCTTGCTTGTTCGCAAAACTTCGAATGGATCTTCTCGCTCATCAAATCCTTCAAATTCTTCCGGTTCTCAACTAAAGAAGAAGGATAAAGCGGTTTGTGTGCATTGTGGAATTGTTGGACACACTGTGGATAGATGTTACAAATTACATGGTTATCCACCAGGCCATCAGTTATACGGCCAAAAGACTAATGCTTCCAACTCTTCTACTGCCAGATCAAGTCCTCTGGATTCGCTTGCTTCTCTTACTACGGATTAATGTCAAGGCCTGATGACCTTGCTACAGTCTCACCTTTTGTCTACTCAACGAAACACTGATGCAGACACTCACACCCCTCATGTTGCAGGTATTTGTCATGTCTCTTTATTGACCACTGATTTAATTCACCACTGGGTTATAGATTAGGGGGCCTCAACTCAGGTGTGTTTTAATCTAGATTTATTCTGATCCATGAGACCAATTTCGGGAGCAACTTTATATTTGTCGAATCTTTCTTGTATATCAGTAGAATTTGTGGGAGATATACAGGTTACTGCAGAATTGTTGATCAAAGATTTGCTGTTTGTTCCATCTTTTCGTTTTAATCTGCTTTCCGTCAGTGCTCTAATGAAGTCTTCTTCAGTTTCAGTTCAATTTGCTGATTCGTATTGTCTTCTTCAGGACAGGTCTTCTTTGAGAACGATTGGCAAGGTCTCTATCTCTTTCCTACTGGAATAGCTTGCACACCTCGTCAATCCTCTGCTATTGTTTGTAACACTGCTGTTATTTCCTCTTACAATACATGGCATGCTCGTCTTGGTCACCCGTATACAAAGCATTTGTTAGCTCTTAAGGACAAGTTACATATTGGTTTTATACCTAAGCATGATTCTGCTGATCCTTGTTCTGTTTGTCCATTAGCTAAGCAAAAACATCTTAAGTTTGATTCTGACAATAATATTGCTGATCATTGTTTTGATCTAGTGCATTGTGATGTATGGAGACCATATTCTTCTTTTACACATTCTGGCTGTAGATACTTTCTTACTCTTGTTGATGACCATTCACATTATACATGGACTTTTTTGATGAAACAAAAGTCAGAGGCTTTGGTTATTATTCCTCGATTTTTTAAAATAGTTGAAACTCAGTTTGGTAAAGTCATCAAAGTCTTTCGATTTGACAATGCACCAGAGTTGTATTTTACTGAGTTTTTTCATTCCAAAGGGGTCCTTCGTCAGTTTTCTTGTGTTGGTCGTCCTAAACAAAACTCCATTGTTGAACGCAAGCATCAACACCTACTTAATGTGGCTCGATTGCTCCTATTTCAGTCCCGTGTCCCCATTCAGTTTTGGGGAGAGTGTGTTCTCACTGTTTCCTTTTTGATAAATCGAACACCTTCGCCTTTACTTGTCTGGACCACTCATTTTGCTTGGTTATATGGCAAAGATGTTGACTATTCCGACCTTCGTGTATTTGGATGTCTTTGCTTTGCTTCCACCTCTCCCAATCATAGATCCAAGTTTCATCCTCGAGCTACACCCTCTATTTTTCTTGGCTATCCATCTAGTGTAAAGGGATATCGTCTCTATGATATTGAAAACAAGAGTTTCTTTCTTTCTTGGGATGTTGTCTTTCATGAGAAGGTCTTTCCATTTCACACAATTACTGCTGATAGTGTTAACTTGGATATATTTTCTGATATTGTCTTGCCAAAACCCATTGGTTATTCCGGATTGCCTTCTACTACTGGTTTTAGTGGTATTGCACCTTTTGATGTTGGTTTGTCTGATGAATCTTTGCTGCTGATCAGAATAATGTTGTGCCTTCTACTGTCATTTTTGATAGTCCAGTGGTTAATAATGAGGTACCTAATGGGACACCTATTTCTGTTGAAACTTCTGTTATCCTACCTATTACCATTAATGAGTCGGCTTCTATTGATGCTACTTTTATTTCGAATACTGAGCCTAGTACTAATGTCAGAATTGATGGGGCTGTTCCTAATTTTCAACCATCTACTGCTCTTGTACCTCGTAAGTCTTCTCGGCAGTCTCACCCTCCATCATATTTGCGTGACTACCACTGTGGCTTACATCATTTGGGAAGTTCTGTTCCTGAGGTTTCTACCAAATATCCTATTCATAGATATTTGAACTATGATTGCTTCTCTTCTACATATTGATCCTTCATAGCCACAATTTTATCATCAAGCTGTGCCTTACTCTTATTGGCGTGATGCTATGGCCTCTGAGTTGCAAGCTATGGAAGTTAACAAGACTTGGTCTGTGGTCCCTTTTCAATCTGGTCATCACTCTATTGGTTGTAGGTAGATATATAAGATTAAACACAAGGCTGATGGCTCTGTTGACCGATATAAAGTCAGGTCAGTTGCTAAAGGTTATACCCAACAGGAAGGGCTTGATTACATAGAGACTTTCTCACCCGTTGCTAAAATGGTCACTGTTAAGGTTTTGTCAATAACACCTTCTTACATGGCGATTTGATTGAGGAAGTCTATATGGAGTTGCCTCTTGGATATAAGCATAATGCGGTTGCTTCTCAGGTAGAGCGTTTAATTTGTCGTCTTCCTAAGTCAATTTATTGTCTTAAGCAAGCTTCTCGAGAGTGGTTCGATAAGTTCTCTCATGTTTTGTTGCTTCTTGGCTATCAGCAAACTAAATCTGATTATTCCCTTTTTGTTCGAGGTTCGGTGTCTCATTTGTCGCTTTGGTTGTATATGTCGATGACATAATCATCACTGGAGCCTCATCTTCTGTTATTGATAGCTTGAAGCTTCATCTTAATAGTGTTTCAAGCTTAAAGATTTAGGCCCTCTCCGGTATTTTTTGGGGCTGGAGCTTGCTCGTTCAGCTGTTGGTATATTTCTGTCTCAACGAAAATATGCTCTTTCACTTGCTTGAAGACACTGGTTTTCTTGGTTCTAAGCCAAGTTCTTTGCCCATGAATCCACATTTGAAGCTTTCTATGAATGATGACACACTGTTGTCTGACCTTATTGTTTATCGTCGATTAGCTGGCTGATTATTATATCTTACGATCTCTCGGCCTGATATCACATATGCAGTCCAGAAGCTCAGTTAGTTTCTTTCACAACCTCGTTCTTCACATTTAAATGCTGCTCATCCTTTGTTGAGGTATTTGAAGGGTTCCCTTGGTCAAGGCATTTTGTTGAAGCCTACATCTTCTTTTCAGCTTAAAGCATTCTCTGATGCGGATTGGGCTTCTTGTCTTGACTCACGTCGGTCTACTACAGGTTTTTGTAATTTTTTGGGAGACTCTCTTGTTTCTTGGAAAGCAAAGAAACAGACACTGTCGCTCGGTCCTCGACAGAGGCTGAATATCGAGCTCTTGCTGGCACTACAAGTGAAGTTGTTTGGCTTACTCAGCTTTTGAATGATCTTCAGGTTTCTTGTTCTTCCCCAGCTTTTCTCTCTTGTGACAATCAGGCGGCGCTTCATATTGCTTCCAATCCTATGTTTCATGAGTGTACAAAACACATAGAACTTGATTGTCATTTTGTTCCAGACAAGGTTGTTGATGGTTTAGTCAAACTGCTTCCTGTTCGTACAGAGTCACAGCTTGCTGACATTTTCACTAAACTGTTGCGTTGTAAATCTTTTGAATTATTGCTGTCCAAGATGGATGTTTGTGGTGTTGTGCCTCCATAGATGGAGGAGTATTAGATGTTATCCTTCTGTTATTTGTTACTTAGTTAGTTTTCATGTAACTGTATTTTCTCCTTGTATTTTTTTTTCCTTTTTGTCCTAACAGATCACACTCTATTTTTTTCTCAAAAAATTTAATATTTTTTTAATTTTTTTTTCTCAATTTGGTCTCTATAATTAATTTTCTCTCTTCATAATCTATTTTTCCTCTAAAATTATATCTTCTTTTCTCGACTATAACTTTTATTTATTTGTTTTCTCTAAAATGTATATTTTAAATCTCGTTTTTATCTCTAAATTTTTTTTACCATAATTTTTATTTTTCTTTCTATTTTTTTATCTTTAACATATTATTTCATCCCAACTTTACTATTTTTCTCTAAATTTTTTCTCTTTTTTGTTTTTTAACTTCTCTTCTACTAATTTTTTTAAAAAAATATTTTTCTTTATCATCTCTCTTTAACTCACTTTCAAAATTTATTTCCATCCATCTATTTTCATGTCTCTACATTAGGGATGACAAACATTCCCACAAAGTTGGTCTCACCTCAAATAATAGGAAATGCATGTCCCGACCCCGTTTCCGATTCCATTTCTTAAATAATTAATATATTTTTTATTGACATATTTACTAAATTGTGAACAAAATATTAAATATTTTTTAAAATGAATTATTTATACTAGTAAATAATAATTCTAAAAATTATTAATATATTTATTACACTTTTTTTTTTATCTTTTAAATTCTAAGAATAGTTAAAAATAATTATAAAATCAGTAATTTTTCCCACGAATGTCCTCGTCCCCAAATAATGATTATTTAACCTGGAACTTGATCCCCGAAACAAAAAATGAGGTGGAGATGAGAGACTTAAAATGTTTACCAACACGAAAATGGGAGAGGACATTATCAAATAGAAAAATAATTAAAAATAGTTACCAAACAGGTTTGATTTTCAATTATCAAACATATATGAATTTTGTTTTTTAAAACTAGAAAATCAAAGACTAATATAGCAGAAAACAAAAAACCAAAAATAGAAATCATTATCAAACGGACCGTTTCAAATTTTTTAGATATATCAAATCGGGTATATCGATGGTAATATTAAATAAGATATATCATTGGTACATCAACATTTGAATAAGATATATCGTTGTAACTAATTTACCTTGATGTACTATATATTAGATATATCAATTATAGCTTATTTAACTTGTACGAAGTACATCAATTATAATTGTGTTGAGTTGAGAGTTATTTGAGGGTAAATTGAACTTTTTTCTATATTATGCATGGGCCGAACCCCAAATTTTGCTATTTTTGCAAGATTGAGATGTGGTTGCTAATTTTACAAATAACTATTATTTTTTTTTCTACTATATTTATCTCAAAATTATTGACCTATTATGTAAATAATTGTAATACCCTAGAAATAAAGTGAGATAGTCATTTCTTAAAAAATATTTGAATCCCGAGTTAAAATCTAACATGTACATAAATAGAAGGATTAAAAAAAAATAATATTGAAGTACAAAGTCTAAGATTCCTTGTTTTACTAAAATAAAGAATATTTAATTTAATGTTTTAATATTGTCGTCCTTGGCGTTTTTTTATCATCTACAATTACTATTTTTTTCTTCTCTTTATTATATGTCTTATACATAACTTAGATAATTAATATAAAATTAAGATTCAATTTGTTTAAGATAAATTAATAAAATATTTTATTGTATGATTGAATTTTTTTTATAAATTAGTTTTATAACAAAATTTAATCATAATGTAGTTTTATACCATGCTTAACTTGCATCTCTATTATTTCTTTCTTAAATAAAGGATTATTGAGCTAATTGTTAATTCTGTGTCGTCTCGAACACATTGAGAGCTTATTTAACCTCCTTTTCAACAAATTATTTATCGGAGCACGCGGTTAAGGATCCATGTTGAAAAGAAAATGGATCTTACAATGGTTTATAATAGACATGGGCTACCCCTCTCCTTGCCAATTGGTTTGTAGATGGAACACCTCATGAGTATTCATATAGTATCAGAGTCCAAAAACGCTCAGACGAGTTACCGGTCCAAAAATAGAATCCGACCAAGATTGATGAGCCAAAAGAGCCACGATCTTCTTATCTAATATAGTTCTATTGCATACCACATTATTGAGAATAACTATTTGTAATATGGTCTAGCAATACCCTCGACAAAATTCTTATTGTATATGTACATATAATTGCTTTGCTTCTCATATACATTTGGGGCATCATTCCAAATTAGCAAAATCCCTAGATTGCCCAACTAATTAATACATTCTTGCCTAACTAAAACTCAAAAATAAATTATAAAAACATTACCTTAAATCAAATGTTTGTAGGAAAAGGAAAAATGGGGTGGAAATTGGAGTATGAAAAAAGACACCAAATAAAACCTAACTTAGGAATACAATTGATGTCTCCAAAATATATTATTAATGCAAACAAAACTCAAATGCTTGAAAATGAAGCATAGTGTTTGGTGTCTCGAGAGACTAGGTCAAGTCAACCCCATCTATATTACATAAAGTTGGATAGCATTACAAAGTAAATTAAAGTAAGTTGTTATTAATTAATCCTTCAATATTTAAGGTTAAATTACAAGTGTTCTAATCTAAGTAAAGTTTATTCATAATCCTTATACTTTAAAAATTCATAATGAGTCGAATATATCTCCAACCAAGAGATTGTGAGTTTGGATTCTCTTTCCAACATGTTGTACTAAAAAAAAAAAAAATTCACAAATGAGTCTTGGGTTTTAAGGTTGTCTATTTAGTCCAAGAGTCCCTAGAGATCTAGTTTGGTAATATTTTTCGTTTGTCATTTTTAGTTTTTAGAAACGATATACACATTCGGTAACGGTTCTTATTTCTCCTTTTTCATTTTAAAGAAATGTTTCCAAAATTTTTTAGAAATTTTAGAAACAACAAAATAAAAAATTATTGTTTCTTGTATCTTATTTCAGTTTCTAGCTAGTTTCTAAAATTTCCCAAAAAACATAAATTTATTATTTTCACTTATAAGATGCATAATAAATATTAAAAAATAAATATAACATAAAACTTTTGAATATTGAATTAAAAAAATTTTAGAGAAGGAAAAACAAGAACATTCTAATTATTTGTTAAATAAAGAAATAAAAAACAGGAAACAAAGAAACAATTACCTAATCAAGTTTTGTTTTCATTTATTAAAAAAGAGTAAAAAAGAAACAAAGAAAAGAAGAAAATAAGAAACAAGAAATATAAACATTACAAAACCAACCTTAAACATTCAATTCTTTGCCTATTCATGGCACCCTAAAATTTTATTATAGGATCTCCCCGCCCTTATTTGATATACTAAAAAAAACATTTTATTCTAAGAATTATCGACAAAATGATTTTTGGTACGGTAGTTTATGTCTTTGGATAGTATTATTGTTATACTTGAAGTTTATTTTATACAAAACTGAAAGTTTTAAAAATTTATCAGTTAAGAGACCAATAAATTGCTAAAATGAATATAGCTCAGTGGTAATTGGCATATACTTCAAACCATGAGGTTGAGAGTTCGATCCCTTATCTCCATATGTTGTACTAAAAAAAAAGGGATTTTTCCATTTCCCCATTGCCGAAGGTTGCAGCAAAATGCTTTAAGTTTACAGCAATATAGAAGTTGACTTTAGGAAAGGGCCATGTGAATTGCTTATGAATTAACAACCAAGTAAAGTTGATTCAATGGCCACCCAAAACAATATAGCTAAATTTCAGGCCACACTACTTTGGAAATTCATTCCAAGTTCCTATAAGATGAAGAAGTTTCATGCATTTGATTCAACACAAATTCTTAAAAAATTTTCAATCGTCTTTGTATTTCACTATGGCACGAATCGCCATAGCTCTCTTCCTCTTCATTCTCCTCCTTTCGGCTGCCGTAGAGGCAGCTCCTAAGCCAAAGAAAGAAAAGCCCAAGAAAGTTAAATGCAAAGACAAGAAGTATCCAAAATGTTACAAATCTGACCTCTATTGTCCAGACAATTGCCCTCGAACTTGTGTCGTTGATTGTTCAACTTGTCAACCCGTGTGTATTCCGCCTCCGCCTCCACCGCCATCCCCTCCTCCACCGCCACCGAAACCCCGCAAGCGCAAGTCTCCACCACCCCCATATATTTACTCTTCACCTCCACCCCCGCCTCCCTACATTTACTCTTCTCCCCCGCCTCCTCCATTCATATACTCTTCGCCACCTCCTCCTCCACCAGCTACGGCTGAGCCTACACCACCGTTCCCTCCGGCTCTAACTCCCCCACCGCCGTCTCTTTCTCCACCACCGTCGTCTGAAGCGTCGGGGCAGAAGAGAGTTAGGTGCAAGAGTAGGAGCTTCCCACATTGCTATGGGATGGAGCTAAGTTGTCCAAGTGATTGCCCTAGCCAATGTGAAGTTGACTGTGTTACTTGCAGCCCCGTTTGCAGTAAGTTTCTCACAACTTATCAGTTAGTTAAGCCTAATCTTGTGAAAAATAAAAGAAGGTTAAATTATCATTTTAGTACTCTTGAATTCATTGGGTTCAATTTCCGTCATTGAAGTTTTAAAATTTTTGTTATATGCAGTTCTTAGAATTTGGTTAAATCTTCTCAATCGTTACTAGATGTTAACTTTTGTTACCTGATATGTTTCTTTAGATGTCATAAAGATACGTCACGAACGTTTAAGCTGATGTTTTGGTCACAATCTTCTCTATATTGCGAACCCTAACCCCAAAAACCCACCCTTTTTCTACGTGACAAAATTTTGCAAATCCACATATTTTTTTTCTCTATTTTTACTCAACTCTCAAACCCTAATATAATTCACAAGTTTAATCTTATATATTCAAACACAAGCTGATTACCATCAACCACCCTAAGAATTTCTAGCTTTTCCAACGGTTTTTTTTTTATTACCCAAGAGTCGGTGGCCGCCTTTTGGCCTTTTCGCCTCTATACCTAGGTGTGTCCCCATACCCGTATAATGAGAGTTGCATTCCATGTGTCTTGAACCAAGACCTCAAAGATATTTTTTGAAACTCCAAACCACCTAAGCTATCCCTCGGATACTTTCCGACGGTTTTATTGTCGACACTTAATAAAATAATCCACTCCTTTTCCACACAACGTAATTTCTCTTCATTAGAAAATTCCATTTGATTTTCTTTATTTTGTACTCAACTCAAATCTCAATCCAAATCAATAAGAAAAAGGATTTTGGTTCTTAAAAATGGTTTATTTTGCACATATACACAGATTGCGACCGTCCGGGAGCAGTGTGCCAAGACCCAAAATTCATTGGAGGGGATGGAATCACCTTCTACTTCCATGGCAAAAAAGACCGAGACTTCTGCATCGTCACTGACTCGAACCTCCACATCAACGCCCGCTTCATCGGCCGACGAAACCCCGACATGAACCGGGACTTCACTTGGGTCCAATCCCTCGGCATCCTCTTCGACTCCCACAAGCTCTTCATCGGCGCCCGCAAAACCGCAATATGGGACGACGCGGTCGACCGCCTGTCCCTCTCCCTCAACGATGAAACCATCCTCCTCCCCAACAAGGATGCCTCAACATGGAACTCAACAGGGATCGCCATAACCAGGACTCGGAACACGAACGCTGTCGAGATCGAAGTCCCCGGGAATTTCAAGATCAAGGCGGTCGTGGTCCCGATAACCGAAAAGGAATCGAGGATCCACAAGTATGGGATCACACAAGAGGATTGCTTTGCCCATTTGGATTTGAGCTTCAAGTTCTATGCTTTGAGTGGGGATGTGAATGGGGTTTTGGGGCAGACTTATGCTACAAACTATGTGAGTAGGGCAAAGATGGGAGTGGCAATGCCTGTTTTGGGTGGCGATAAGGAATTTGCTTCCTCAAGCCTTTTTGCTACCGATTGTGCTGTGGCACAATTTAGTGGAGAAGAAACTTCTTTGGAGGCTGTGGCCTATGCCAATATGAATTGTGGGAGCGATTATTTGGGAGCTCAAGGAGTTGTTTGCAAACGATAACTTGTTTCATCTCCAATTGGTGGATCCTTGGTTTGAGGATAAATAAATTGTGTTTGTGATATTTTATATTTATTCATGAAAATATATATGTATTTGGAATAAAATTGGGAAACTTGAAATGGGGAAGGTTTCTTGATTCTTTTTATGAAAAAGAAGAAGTGAAAAGGGTTTGTTTCTAATATGGTTTTCCATCCCGGTTCTTGTGGTTACTTGTAAGAGAAATTGATACTAAAGTTAATTGTATGGTGTTTGATAAGTATATTTATTACTTCTTCCTCTTGAATCAAGTCTCTTCTATTTAACTTCTATTTTTTATGGATTTTCATTGGACTTCCCACTAGGCTTAATGGGGTATATAAGAAAGAGTTTATATAAAATACTTGGAGTTTTTAAGGCTCATTTGGGTAATGTTCTCGTTTCTTTGTTTCTAATTTTCTTAAGAAATCTAAACATTTTACAAATAACTTTGTTTTTTGTTTCTATTTGTAGGAACAATATAGAAATTTTGGAAACAACTAAAACAAGTTTGTCATTTCTTGTTCCCATTAATTTGTTTCAAACGTAAATAAAAAGATTATTTTATCATACTTGAATTATTGGATGTTGGAACCATGCAATTCATTTTTCTTTTTTAAAATTAAAGAAACATAAACAAAAAACACGAACGTTACCAAACGGGCCTTAATTAAGGATCACTGTTCCCGTTTCTCGTTTCTAAATTTTAAGAAACTAAAGCATTTGGTAGTTGTCTATGTTTCTTGTTTATTATACTTTTTACGAACGTTCAAAATTTGTATAGAAAAATTTTGGAAACAATAAATCAATGACCCATTTGATAGTGTTTTCTTGTTTCTTGTTTTTGTTTCCTCCTTTTTATTAACAAAAAAAATATTGCATGACCCCAACACTCACAAATACAAGAATGACACAACTATATTTATTTTTTATGTTTTGGAACAAATAGGAAACAAGGAACAAGAAATTAGCTAGAAACTTGTTTTTGTTGTTTCCAAAATTTCTACACAATTTTGATAATGTTTCTAAAAAATGAGAAACAAGAAAAATAAATAGTTGTGAAATGAATAAAATTTGAAACAAGAAATAAGAAACTTGCATTATCAAATGGGCCCTTTTCTTGCTTCTTGTTTCGGATTCCATGCATTTTGTTCCAAAACATAAATATATTAGCTGAAAAAAGATGTAGAGATTGCTATGGTAGAGTTCATATTATTCCAGCTATCTTTATCAAAAAGAGGAAACAACAAACAAGAAAGAAAGAAAATTATACCACACATGCCCTAATATACTAAACATAGTTAGTTTTATGCTAGCTAGCCCCAAGGGGCGGCTCCGTTCTCTCGGTCACACCGATTTAGAAGGCTTTAAATTCGAATATTCGAATGAGTTTAATAAGAAAATTTTTTAATATCTCCTAGGTCTGAGTCTTGGAGCAGACGTGGGTATATCCGATTCCAGATCATAAAAAAATAAAAGAGAGTTAGTTCTGTTGTTTTCCAATTTCTAATTCTTTTGTGTATTTAATTGGGGAAGATCTCTCATACATTAAGTTATAAATCTTAGATATATCGCTCCTCATTTGTTATTGATTTTAAAAATTTAAAAAGTATATGAGATCAATGGGATTTCGATTTTAGATTAAGCATATAGTTTCATTCAAAGTTTCTTCACTTTTGTAAAGCATAAAGTCTTTTCATTTTCTTATTTTTCCAACAATTACTTACTTATCTTTTATCTTTTATTACTGTTCTAGATGAGTTTAATATTTGCCTTTTTTTTTTCCTTCTTTTTGGTCTTATCATTTTTAGAGTTTTAGTTCAACTAGGATTGTATGATCGAATACAGTTCCTTCTTAATAATTCCTTTTTACTGTCCATATCTGTCTGTATCCTCGGAAATCGTTGAAGGCATTGAAATTTCCTCAACTTTTTGCTTTGTTTTCTTGGTCTGTTGGGGATGTCAAATCTTGCAAGCTATGGTTTTCACGAGTTCTCCAAATGATTGAGTAAAGCCAAATTAAGTAGGTCTATGGAGGCAACTTCAGCTATATCCAAATGGGATGAACAAGATTTTCTATTGAATATATACAATTCAAGGGTTTTTTTTTTAATGTGGATGTATGAGTTTGATATCTATGATTAGAGCTTATAGCTTTTGATGCACGATCCTCGATCAGGTGATAAGTCAATTTCGTATTCGAGGTGGATGTACGTTGAGTACTTGCGCACAAAAATTTTTGCACTGGTAGGGTGTTCGGTCACTTACATTCCAAAGCTTAAGTTAGAATTTAATTATTCCCAGCTAGCGTGGAGTCAAGTTTGATTAGGTTTACTTTTGAGAAAAAGAGACTCCACTTTTTTATAAGAAGAAAGCTTTGGGAAGCGTGATATCCAATTACCTTGGCTTCGTATATATCTGTTGTTAATGATATTTCTGTTAGTGGCATTTGTTTTCCCCATATGTCGAGGATGAGTTGGGTTTTCGTTGGGCTGGTCATACATAGTTCAACCTATCCGACTTTGTCTTGACCGGTTCACGTTTAAGCTATTGAACACTTATTTTTCAATAGTGTGGTCTGTGTGGCTAAGTAGACCCATTCCCTCTAAATTCTTTAGAATTTAACTTGGCGTCATTTGTCAATGAACTAATCTGTGACGGTTAAAGAGTTAGTTGATATTGATTTTATATTGCAATTTAGATCAAAAGAAATAGGCCCATCTTAACTTATCTCGAAACAAAAATATAAAAAAAATTCAAATATTGGACGAAAACTTTCAAATTTATAAATTCACAAGAAAGGAAGAAAGAAAAAAAGGAAAAAAAAGAAACATAGATTAATCTAACAATTAAATAATGGGAGATGACTCTATAGGTATAGAGACAACCTTAGAACTGACCTAAAATATATATTTCTAAAATTAAAGGAAAAAAACTCAATAAACTATTTAAAGTAAACCCCACAAAGAGGGAAATTAATTAATATAAAATTAAACACAATTAATCATGAAACATGGGGCACCGCCCATGCCCACATTATCCATCCATGGCATATGGCCAAACAAGGGCATAGAGAACTTTAATTTGTGTTTAAATACTTTATTATTAATTTAATATCATATAGTATAATCATTTATATTATATTATATCATATTATATAGTTCATGGTTCATATCACCTCAAATTATGGAAAACATGTGAGTTCCCTAACTCCTAGACACCAATCTACGCCCTTCTTAATCACACCCATTATTTACAATTAAAAATTAAAAAATGGGCAATCCTTTTTTTTAATTGAATTTAAAATTTTCTATAGTTGATTTCAGTTGTGATATTTTAGTTAACTAGTTAAATTAAAAATATGTAAATCATTTATCACTAGTTTACTAGTATATTATATGTCTATCAAAATTCAATAATCACATATATTTTTTTTAAATTTGTTTTTGGATCTACTATTTTTCTTCAACTTCATACTTTTGACAAAGGTTATTTTGGCAATCAGTAATTTAAAATCTAGTTTAGATGGTCTACAAAATTTATTTATGTCAAATTTTATTCTCACACAATATACCTCTACTTTTATAATTTTATATTTTTAGTCTTTTTTTTATTGAAAAAAATACATTTAGATTAATGACAACATGGGGTAGTGAACATTAAACCCTCCATAAAAAATTAAATTAATTAAATTTTGTCAGTTAATCATACCATGATTAGTAGATTTCTGTCTCCATCCTCAATCTTTGAAATGTGTAAAAGGTATAAATTTTACCATTCTTGACAATTTTAGTTTTTGTTTGGATCCCTTTGTTTTTTTTTTTCCCAAAAAACAAATCCATAAAATAAGATCAGTAGAATCTAAGGCAGATATTTTTATTAAAAAATGGAAAATTCATAATTGAGGATTATGAAATTGAATTAGGCACATGGAAGAAAGAAAGTAGTAGTTGCAATTATTGAGGATTCAATTCAAGGGGCTAAAGGAATTAAATATTGGGGCTTGGGCTTGCATTTATTTATTGAGAAATAAACAAAATTAAAGCCTAACTTCTACACCAATAAATAGATAAAAAAAAATATATTGGTGTCAGTGTGATCACTTATTAATGAAATTAAAATTAAAATATTATTTTAATAGCTGCATTTTCAAATTTGGCTTATGATCGTCTTTTAAGTTCCTGATAATCTAAGTATCTTGTAAAAGTATCTATTTTGATTCTACTTTCAACTCTCGTTAATTTTAATCTATGTACTTTTAAAGCGTTCGTTTTAGTCTTTTAAAACGGACTATTTTGGACAATCAGGTAAATTTTGTTCGAACATAAAATAAAGATTTCAAAATATAAATTACATTTGTGATGTATACTAATTAACTAGAGGAGGATTAGGTCAATCTATCTTGACCCATTTGATCTAAAAAGCACAAAAATGCTAATACCCCATTTGAAATAATTTATAAAGGTATGTAACATTAATTTGTACATTACAAGTTAAATTTCCTCAAACCGGAAATTAATTTGGTGTTCTTTCTTGAATTCGAACGGGCAACCCACCCCTCCAACTAGCCGTTAGACCGGGAGCAAATCGGGCAACTCGGTCGGGTTTGTCCAACCGGATTTGAAACTTTCGAACCAGAGCCACCGCGACGCTCTTAATATCCATCACCGCCAGTTCCTTGCCCAAACAGACCCTTAGACCGGCCTGGAAAACCGGGAACTTAAATGGGTTTTCGGGAGAGAAGCAACCATTGTTCAACCAACGGTCCGGGTTGAAGCGGAGGCAATCGGGTCCCCAGATCCGGTCCATCCGACCCATGGCGTAGGGGTGGTAAGTTACCCTTGTGCCCTTGTGGACGAAGGTGCCGTCCGGGAGGACGTCATCATCGACGGCAAACTTGGAGTCGAACTGGACCGGGGGGAAGAGGCGCATGTTCTCGTAGACCGCCGCGTGGAGGTAGTGCATGTCTCGGAGATTCTCGAAACTCGCCGCCGCGTCCCGGTCCGGACCCATGACCCGGTCCGACTCGGACAGAATTTTAGCCTCTACTTCCGGGTGCTGGGCCAGGAGCCAGAAGAAGCTGGTCAACGCCGACGCCACCGTGTCCCGTCCAGCCAGGAGGAAGCTCACCACTATATCCCGGAGATATCTGTGCAAAACAAAACAAAATTGTTAATTTTTTAATTAATGGCAGATCTTAAATTCCGGATTTTTTTTTCCTTTTTTTACATTTGGTCGGTAATGCGGAAAATAAAATAACAAGGGTGAAATTGAAAATTTACAAATGTCAAAAAGAGTATAAAATTTAAATCAAACTTAAAACTAATTATAAAAGGCATCCAACTCGAACATAAGTCAATTGGTTTAACCACATACTCTAATCAAAAGGTCGTAAGTTCAAATTCTCACACGGTTATCATACTAAAAGAAACCAATCACATACATTTATTGAGTTTTGATTTTGCTCCCTAACCTATATATTTGGTTTCAACTTTACTTTTCAACCCATGCATTTTTGTTTATTTTGTCCCTAGTATTATGTTTCACTTTTGTCCTTTTTAACTTTTAGAATCTTATAGACAAAATATCAACCTACCCCACAATAGTTTCAAAGGGTACATTGGGTAAAAGTAGTTTGGTATCCTTTCAACATTATTTAACTCTAACTTCACTGTTATAATTATAAATTTGACAGTTATTTAGGGGAAAAAAAACTTATTTTCTATATTTTTCTCTCATGCTTATCCAAAATTTAACCATTGTATATATTATTTGTATTCCTTTTTTATGCTAACGACCATTTTCAATATCTACGTGCTCATCACTCAGCATCTACCATTCAATTTTTTAGTAGGAGAGAGATGTTTGAGAAGAATTTTATTTTTGTCCTATTTTTCTAAAATTGTTAAATTAAGAGAGAGAAAAAAAAGAAGAATGTAAGAAATTAAAAAGGAAGTGATGATTGTTACCGATCATCATGAGTGGAAGCCATGAATCTTGAAAGAAGATCATTCCGACCGGAGAAGCCAATTTGGCGGCGGTGGCGAATGACCTCTTCAGCTAGCCCATTAACAATCTTAATAGCTTCCTTCAGCCTCCTCTCCGACCCCAAATTAAGCGCCCTCTTAATCCTCCACATCACCGGCCACGTCCCCATCGCCCTCTCCGCCGACACCCTCGACGCCACGTCGAACGCCACCGCAAACTCCGACACCGGCATCGACAGCCGCAGACATCCTGGGTCCACCCCGAACGAGAATCTACAGATCACGTCGAACGAGAACCGACGGAACACGTCCTGCAAGTCCACCGCCGTCGCCATCGCCGCTGCAGACATCACCGGGATCAGCCTTGTTCGAATCTGGGCCCACACGATCTCGAAAGCGTGGGACCGGACTGCCACGCTGCCCAGCTCCAGGCTGGCCATCTTACGCTGGAAGCGCCACGTGTCGCCATCCACGTTGAAGATGCCGTGGCCGAGGAGGTCGCCTAGGAGTGAGGAGAATGGCTGCCCCTTTGGGTAGTTTTGGAAGTTGGAGCTGAGGATGTGCTCCACGTTGTCCGGATTCGCGGTGACGAGGTTCGAGAGGACGTGGAGGTGGATCGTAGCAGAAGGTGAGCGACGTAGGAGGTCTGCGTACCAGTCGGAGAGGTTTGGGAACGACTCCGACCAGGCTGAGGAGAGATAGGAGCGGCAGAGGTCGCAGTTGCACCACGGCCTCAGCCGCAAGATATAGAGAGAGAGAGAAAAGATGGAGAAGATGAAGGTAAAGGAGAAGAACAAGAGGGAGATTGTGGATGGCAAAGAAGAGGATTCTTCTGTAAAGTTTAGATCAAAATGAAAATCCATTTTCAATGTAATAATAGATTGATAAATTAGAGAGAGAGAGAGAGTGAGAGGAAATTGTGAGGGAAGGAGGGAGGAAGGAGAGTTGGATTTTATATCATTTGAAGGGGACTCTCATGGAAACCTACGTGGATATAATTTTTTGGGAAATAAAAGATTTTCGTCTTTTTCTTCTTGATGCAAGTTCAGAATCTATCTGCTTTTAATAATACTTGTAATTGTATATACGACGGTTTATAATTGTTAGATACATTGTTCTAGAACCGTTTCAGGTGATCTTCGTGTAAATCGTTCTTTTTTTTTTCTCGTCAAACCGAACATAATTCAAAGAGTTAAAGTACCTATTTCTTACCAAAAGGTCATGAGTTCGAATTCCCACCTCCACATGTTTTACTAAAGAAAAATCGTTCTTTTTTTTTAATTAGTTTCTTAGAATGAGGATTCGAACCTCCGATGTTTTTCATCGAAGATATTGGTTCGACTCTAATCAATTGAGACATGTACAAATCAATTTTTGGTTACTACACTATAGAAATAGTCTTTTTTGTATTTTATTCTTTTTGGAAAATACTTATGTCTGGCTATTCTTGAAAAATAGACAAATAAGAGAGGAAAAGGTGTTTATAAATTTTCAAATTTTTTGGATAAATAATGAATTGTCAAATTTTCAATAATGATGAACAAAAAGTGTTCACGAATTAACACATAAGTATTTTCTTTTTAAGGAGATTGTTTTTGGTTTCTAGTTGAAAAATATATTACATAAATAATGGTACAATAAAAATTCTAGAATACAGCATCAAATGATGACGTTTTAAGGAGATCGAAGTAATCCTTTTATAAAAATACAAAGGTAAAGTTGAGATTTTTAAATAATAGAAATAAAATAAGTTGGTTAAGACACATACTTCCATCCCAACTCGGAAAGGTAAGTGGGAGGATAGACTATATTATTTTTCTTAATATAAAAAGAGTTTGCGTGGGACCCACTTCTTTTCTTTTTTTCATTTTTGTGGCCGCTGTTTTGACAGAAGGATTATTGATGGGGACAAAAAAAAAAAATAAATAAATAAATAAACGGCATAATTAAAGCGTGCAGAAAATGAGAAAAAAGAAGGGGTTGGCGATGGATGTGGAAGAGTTCAAATTTTCACCGATCAATTTGACCATTTACACCACGTGCTTTTTTCTTTTTTGTTTTGTTTAAGTTATTTTAAAAACAGATACCCCAGTTTCTTGAATATTATATTATATTGTTATTCTTATTTCTTTATTTTCAATATTGCTTGGGGAACTGGAGTCTATTAAAAACAATTTTAATTTTCGCCTAAAATTAGTATACATGGAGGACCATTCTGATTTGACTTTCTTCTTTTTTTTTTAATAATATTTTCACTTAATAGTTAATACAACCATCTATTTATGTCATTTGACATGACATCAACATGAGTTAAATAATATTATTTTCTTTACAAATTGAGTCTAATTTACGTCCAATGTTCTCAGCTTACTGAAAAAATAAATATTTAAATAGGGAGTGAAATCAATATCTTTAATTAATTAATACCTGGTCTAATAATTATTTTAACTTTCTACTTTCGAAAAATAAGAATTGTCAAATAACCGTTTTTTGTTACTAGAAAATATAAAACAATACTTCTTGATAGATTAGATGTATTTGGCTTCTACTTTATATAAAAGTAAAAAAAAGAAAAGAAAAAAATACAGAGATATATATTAGAGAGAAAAAATAGGTGGGAATTGTCTTTGACAAAATATTATGATTGAAGTTTGTCCCACATCGAAAAGATACAAGGTGGAAGGGTGCTCCAACTACTATAAAATAAGTCCCATGACCTCGGGTTTGATTCATGCCAATTAAAATACTTTAGGCCTTGTATACCAGTTCTAGTTTACTGAACGGTATTTATTTGAGATAGTATTTTGTGTAATTATGGCTGGGGAGAGAAATCAATGTGACTGTATTAATTTTTTATATAGTGGATTCTCCTCTACCGGTCGTGATTTTTTATTGCCTGCGGTAGGAATAAGGGTTTTTTTTTCTCATTAAGTGGTATTAGAGCTTTAGGTTTGTAGTTTCTTGAATTTCTGAGTATGCTATATGATTGCAACATTGTCTGGACTTCCAAATCAGAAAATATTTCTTGAAACGAGTTACAATTTTGTGAATAGTGTGTGTGAAGCGGATATGTCATTCTTTATGAGTCTAGTGAAGATTGGAATGATAAAATTTGACAGAAGGATCAAATGACATCTCAAATAAGTTATACCTAAAAGAGCAGTTTCACATACTGCGAATGGAGGAAGGTACAAAAATTTCAAATCATCTAAGTAATCTCAATAGCAGCATCTTTGAGCTGAAGGCAATCAAAATGAAGATAGATTATGAAGATAAGACACTGAGACTCATCTTCTCACTTCCACCTTCTTATGAACACATGAAATCGATCTTGATGTACAAGAAGAATGCTTTGAATTTTACTGAGGCTACTAGTAAACTGTTGTTATAGGAAAGAAGGCTGAAGAGTGAAGGACGTAATTCACATGAAGATTCAGCACTGGTAGTTAGCAATTGGAAGAAGAAGAAAGACTTTGTGTAAAAGAAAGGTTGTAGGAGATGCAAAGAAAGTCTGGGCACAATAAAGAAAGATTGTCCTAACAGAGTCGTTTCGTCAAAGGGCTTTGTATTGGATGCTGATAATGTTTCTCTCGTTAGAGGAGAAGATGATCAGTTCCTCTGAAGAGAGATAGAATTTGTCCTCATGGTATGTCTCCTTTACCAGGATGTGATATTAACGGTTCCACAAGATTATGCATGGACATTTACTTGACGGTTATGCAGGGTGTGTATAGTGAAAGTTATGTGGATAGCTGAAGAACTTCCAGGTGAGCAAAGTAGGTGGAAGTTGCACTATAAATTTCAGTACGATTTATCGACATGTGACAAGGAAGAAAAATCTTAGAAGACAACAATCTAAGTGGTTTATTTTTGTGGTGAAGTAAGTTATAGTTCTCTGAAGACAATGAATATAGTAGAAGCTGTGAATTCTTCCATAAATGAATTCATGTTTAAGATTTTACACTTTTGTCTTAAAATTTACGTGCATAGAGTAGAGCCCCTTTTAGAACTTTGCAAATTTGCCTCTTAAATATATATTTAATAAACACATAAAATAAAAAATCAAATTTACAAAACCGATATCTTGGGAGATATAAAGCAAATATCCCTAAATAAACTGAATATTTTAAATCTCTTAATTATAGTAAAGCATAGCTTCTCATTACAATGATGGAAACCCTAGGAGCCACCTTAATCCCTTTCTCTCCTCCATATCCACCACCATCAACCTCTCCACTTCCTTCTTCATCTCACCCTAAATCTCTCCCTCTTAAACTCACCCACAAGACCTAGATCGGTGACCCGAGGGCAGTGAACGGTGGGTGATCGGTCTCTCATGGCGTCCATGAGGTCCAGCGGCAACCATGAACTCTAACGGCAGGGCAAAACCCTTCGGCGGCCACGAACTCCAGCGCCAGCATAACCGATGGTGTTGCAGTAGATTTTTGACGGACCGACATTGCATGACTCAAGACCTTCTTCTCCATGGACACCGATGACCAGCTGCGTGCAAACCAAATTCGGTAACAATCTTCTACGAGTAGTGGCGGCCGACGACCTCAGACCAACAGCGACGATCAGATCTACAACGGCCCAATCGGACCCACAACGATTACTTCCTTCTGGCTAGAACTATGACGACCGTATGAGTTTTCTTCAAAGAGAAATTATACGTTGGGTATATATTTAGGTATATGAAGTATATGTTTGGTATATGTTTCTTTTAGTTAAATAATGTATATGCAACATACATTGGGTATCTTATGGAGTATATGTTGTGTATATGTAACGCATTGGGGGTAATTTATTATAAAACTGTAAGTTCGATAAAAAATTATATTATATAACCTACGAGATTCATATATAACAATAAAAAATATATATTATATAACATTTTGGGAGAATATAAGTTTATCATACTGTATATCATAAGATTAGAATGAAAATATATTATATAATTGTCGTTGGAATATATTATATAATCTAATAGTTTAGTATATACCAACAAAAAAGTATATATCATATAACATTTTGGATGGGTATATATTTATCATACTATTTATCGAAAAAAAAGAATTCAGAAAAAAATAATGAGGAGAATAAGATAATTAAAATATGGAAAGAATATTTTAGAGGAATATATGTTTATAATAATATTAAAAATAAGGCGCCGAACAAAGAAAAGACGTTGGAAAAAATAATCTGCATAAGAAGAATGAAAAAAAAAGGAGAACGAGTTGTTTGAATTTTTTGACAGGGTCTAATAATTTCAAATCAGACAATTTTTTAAATGGAATGATTTGAAATTCAAATAGGTAAAATTTGAAAATATAAGCCTTTGTGAAATATAGTTTCTAATATGACTCACATAAGACATTTTTTATATTAGAATTAAAGTTTGTCTCACGTCGAAAAGATATAAAAGAGAGTGCTCTAACTACTGTAAAAAATTCATAAAATCAAATAAATTAGACAGCGAAAAATAGGATGGGAAAAAGAGAATAAAATTACGGAGAAAAAAAGTTGAATGAACATTTAGCTCAAGTTTAAAATATTTTTTTAGAAGTTGTAAGTTGGATTTTTTTTGTAATTCATGTTCTAATTAATTTTTTTTTATTTTGATTATAAATGTAGCAATCGTGATGAAGACAAATAAATTCCACGTGGAATTAATAAGTATCTTAGCTACAAAGCATCATATTTTCAATTATCTAATTTTATGTAGTATCCAATAATTAATGTTGAACCATTGTAAAACCAATTTAAACATAATTCAATTGATTAAGTTGAACATTTTAATAGCAAGATTGAACACCGAGATCAAATTAGAGTTCAAGTTGCCAATCCTAGATACCTATTTTTGATTAGAAGGCAGTTCAAATTTCAAACTCACGTGTTATACTCAAGAAAGA